AGTAGAAAGGAACTAAACAAGTATCACACCATTGAAAATAACTATTTATTGTACTGTACTGTATTTAAGGTTTCATCAAAATGTGCCTGAAGTTTACATGTGATAAATAAGCAAATGAAAAAAGGTATGTTGGCCACTTTAATTGGCCGCCTGTTTGGCCACAGTATCCATGATGCCATCTTTGTCCACCATAGTCAGAAGTCCACTTTCATCAAAGTGCTCATGGGTAGCTCATCTGCAATCAGTATATTCACCTAAACGTTTCACATTATAACAAACCTCCCGTCCACGAGTCAACATGTAGAAAAATAATTCCTCTTACATTTGCATCGACCGTTATGGTTTACTGCGCAGCTTTACTAAGAAAAAGCCAAAGCAGAGACTGCTATCTTAGTTTTCTTCAGTTTTGACAGATTGTGGTAAATGCTTAACTGCAATGTCAATAGACAGATAGCTGCTCTTCTCTTCTGTTTAATCTTGAAAATGTAATATTAGTTATTTCAGGTTTAATAAATCAGCGATATAAAGATCAATCCCAGCTGACCCTCTTAGGGACATTTTCAGTTGTGTTTTTATGGGCAGCCCGGTGGTTAGCACTGTTGCCTTCCTATGTTTGCATACTCTGGTTTCCTCCCACAGTACAAAGACATGCAGTTAGTGGGTTTAGGTTACCTGGTGATTCTAAACTGCTCACAGGTGTGAATGTGAGTGTGAATGATTGTCTACTCGCTGTGTTAGCCCTGTGTCAGATTGGCGCCCTATGGCAGGGGTGTCTAACTCCAGGCCTCGAGGGCCGGTGTCCTGCAGCTTTTAGATGTGTCCGTGATCCAACACAGCTGGTTTAAATGGCTAAATGACCTCCTCAACATGTATTGAAGTTCTCCAGAGTCCCAGCAATGAACTAGTGAGCTGATTCAGGTGTGTTGGCCCAGGTCCCCAAACCTGCCCTATGGGATGGATAGTTATGTTGCAGTAATTTTCTTACGTGAGACTTGGCCCAGAAGATGAAAACCTCAGCCACCATTCGGAACAGCTCCTCTGCCTCTGGATTGGACTCTTTAAGCCATCTGGCCCTGTCAGTATATCAAAACAGTTACATGCTGAAACCAATCATTCTTTTTCCAAAACTGCAGCTTCGTCTTAGTGACTAAGCTTCTGTATCAGATGGTCTAAATTCACTCCACTCAATGAGCTGAAGGTCACTTGTTCAGTCACAACACTGTACCTGTTGTAGTCAACGAATCGTATGAGGAGAGGGTAGAAGGCATACAGGTCTCTGACCAGGATAGTAAATTGGTCCATGATGAGGAGCTCTGTCTCTGACATCTCACCCCTCCCCTCCGCCTTGCTATGTTCTTCATCCATCAGCACAACAGCTGCTTTCTAAAGAATACAGTAATAGATTTTTCTATATTAAGCAGCACTGTGTGCTTTAATCTTTGTGACTATTTTATTAAGTAGTAGGAGTGTTCGCATAGTGCACTTTCTCCATTTTAAAAACATACTAACAGATATTTAGTTAAGAAATATATATAGGTAATTCAATTTCATTTAAAAACATCAAAAGAATTACAAGAAAGTGTTAGAAAAGACAACAAGCAGTGAGTGTGACCTAGTTTTATATTCTGTTAAATGAGTTGCACCACTTCCAGGCAGTAGATTATAATAAAGGTGAGACTTACTTTTTTGAGTTTCTCCATCAAGGGCAAGAAGTGGGTCTTTAACAGCTGAGGTTTGGCTTTGCTGATAATTGGCTGGGAGAAGACTTGGGGACATGAACAGAGATGGTGTTAAAACGCAAAATGTGAACGTATGTACATTTGAATATCATATAATGATTAGCAGCAGGCAAAAAGAATTGAACTAACATCAGTTTGAGGATGCTTATGTAAACTGATCCTGAGGAGAGCTTTTATTTATTAACTTTACAAAAAGTGCAGAAAATGGAAAATGAGAGAAGATGAAACACCCTCTTGCGTGAAATGTAACTTCCATTGTGTCCTCCTCTTAACACAATTACAAGAACTGCTGTTACTGACTATATTTTCTTTTTAAAAGAGGAAACCTAAATTGCAAAACACTTAAGGGGCTCATTACACAAATTCTTTTCTTTTAAAATAATTGTTTCCTCCAGTGCTGTAGTGTTTTATCAAACAATTAAATGGCAATCCCCAGCATTTGGAGCACCCTCTAATGAGGTGTGTGCATTGGTTTAAAAAATGTGAAAAAACAAACAAACAAACAAACATACCTCGGCCTGCACACCTAAAACAATGAACACTTCGCCAAACCTAACTAACCTGCCTCCACAAACCAGATTTCATGTCTCATGTCATATTGTTTTATTTTTGCCTTGTGCATCACTGTGAGCTGCAAATATTATGTTCCATTAGCAAATAAGCTATCCATCCATCCATCGATCTTCTCCCGGCTACTTGGGGCTGGGTTGTGGGGCAGCAGCCTAAGCAGAGAAGCCCAGACCTCCCTCTCCCCAGCCACCTCCTCCAGCTTGTCCCTGGAAACACAAGGCGTTCCCAGGCCAGCCGAGAGATAAACTCTCTTCACCATGTCCTGGTTCTGCCCCGGGGCCTCCTCTCAGTGGGACATGCCCAGAATACCTCACGCAGGAGGTACCCATCCTTGTCAGATGCACAACCACCTCAACTGTCTCCTTTTGATGTCGAGAAATAGCGGCTCTACTCTGAGCCGCTCCGAAAAGCCTGAATTCCTCTCTAAGGGAGATGCAAGCCACCCTTCAGACAAAGCTTATTCCCACCACTTGCATCTGCAATCTCGTTCCTTCTAAAATCAAGAGCTTCGCTTTTACGTTTAGCTCTCTTTCTACCAATACAGCATCCACATCCCTGCAGCTGCAGCACAAGTTTCACTGTGATGTTTCATTCTCTTTGCAGAGCTTTAAAGTATATTACTCCCCTGAATGAAAAGAAAACAAAAACAAAAGAAGAGCTACTAGTTTTAGATTTATGTTGCAGTCACTAGTCAGTTTTAACTCCAACATACACTAAATTGCCAAAAGTATTCAATCTTCCCTCCAAGTCATTGAATTCAGGTGTATACCAATCAAGCAGCTAGGCATGCAGACTGCTTCTACAAACACTGGGTCGATCTTAGGAGTTTAATGAAGTCCAGCATCATACTGTGATACTGTTCAACAAGTCCACTCATGAAATTCTCTCTCTTCAACTCTACCACAAAGTGGCTGGACATATAAAGTCACAGTATCGGTCAATCGCTACAGACCTCTAGTCTTCATGTTCAAGAACATTAAGGAACAGGGCCTAGAGAGCTTCATGGAATAGTTTCCATGGCTGAGCATCTGCATCCCAGTCTTACATCACCAAGCACAATGCAAAGTGTCAGACTAGTATATCACCCATGAACTTTTGAGGAGTGGAGACGTGTTGCTGGAGTGATGAATCACATCTCTCTGGCAATGCAATTGTTGAGTCTGTACTTGTCTGACTGCACTGTGGCAAGTATAAAGTTTGGTGGAGGGGGAGGATTATATTGTGGGGTTGTTTTTCAATTGGGTTCGGTTGTTAATACTTCAGCATATTGAGACATATTGGACAATTTCATGCTCCCATCTTTGGAGACGGCCCCTGTCCAACGTGACCCCACATCAGTGCACAAAGCCAGGCTCATAAAAACATGGATGAGCGAGTTTGATGAATCTTGTGAATCAGTGAATTTTATTTTAGTGTTCAGCATTAGTGAGTTAACATTTACCAGCCAGTCTCTTCATCCAGGCGCCCTCATCTATCCCCAGGTTGTTGTAGATGATCTTGAGAATGTTTCCCAGCAGAGTATTCATGTATTCAGAGGTCACAGAGGTGCAGCAGTTGTTGGCTTTGTCTGGGTCGCTTTCCGGTCCATGTTCCCACCAGTGAGACATGTAGCTGCACAACATCGGCAAGACCACCTACAGCAGTAGAAACAAAGCAAAAATAATGAGCTTTGCACAGCTTCACAGTCAGATGGGTTTAATCAGCTATGTCTTTTTTTACCCATCTTCGGCTCTGAAGTGTTCACTACAGGACAAATGTCCACTTATTTTGGTTCCGTGACCAATTTTTCGATGACATGAAGCAACTTAAGGAAAGAACATCAAAGGTGATGCTGTAGTTATTAATTATTAGAGAGTTACCTCCATAACATGAGGCATCTGCGTGTACTTCATGCCGGACTCTGCTAGCTCTACAATCTCCTCCAGAGACTTCTCCAAATTGGGGATCAGTGAACAAACGTCCCCAACCTGCCCAGGAAGGCCTAGAGCTGAGAGGCGGAAAGAGTAGTGGAATGAAAACAGATTAAATTAAACATAATGTGATTTGATTTGTGATTTTTGACACTGATGAATTCTCAGACCGCACAGCCATCGTTTAGCTTTGGATTAATGTTTTTTTATTCGAAATACACAACTGGAGAATCTCTTAGTCAGACAAATGTAGGACAGACAGCTGCAAAAGTATTCAAACCACTTTGTGGTACTTCCTGTTATAGTAGGTGTCTCCAAGAGATACAAACACCATGTATATACTGCACACTCCAGTTTTTTCATAGTTTACTAAGACACTTCTTGAAACCTTCCTCCCTTTCCTCAATCAACCCAGACATGTTTTATGTAATGTTTTGGTTTTACCAAAGAGTTAACGTGTAAGCAGTTAAGAGTGACACGACGGCAGGGTCACAACAAACATTTCTGTTTGTTTCTGAGATGTACAGTAAAAGCTAGTTGGTGCGGTATGCAGTGTAATGTGTATTCATGGTTCCAGTTTTAGTAAAATATAAAGGCTCAAAGAAACATGCTTAGTGCTCGCTGAAACGTCACTCTAAGGAAGTCCAGCTACCTCCGGATTTGTATGTTCCATCATTTTCTTTATGTACATGTCTCACCTGCTCTGTCTTTGCTTCCTTTGCTGTTATAGATGGAAAAGCTGTTAAACTTGTTCATGTGAGGCTCAAGAAAGGCAACAGGGAATGCTGCTGCGAAGGCTGCTAAACACTTTCCCATTGCTGGACGTTGTCTGGAAAAGAAACAGAGAGCTCATGATAATAGTCAAAAACAATTCTTTTACTACCCCAGTGATTAAAAACATAGTAGGTTATCTAATTATGGTAAAAGCAACTTTTTTTCTTTCTTTTTTTTGCTTAAGACTGAATAGGGCTGGCTATAAACTGGGACCTGTCAAGTCTGGTGGGCTAGATTAGTTGTTTTGTATATAGATGGCCAAATGAAGCTTTCTGAAGCTCGTATTGAAAAACGGTTCATTACTCTAAGCTTGTCAACACAGTCCTCTTTGGTGACATCTGGTGGCCAAAAATATAGAGCAGCTTGAGTCCACAACTCATAAAGGACAGCTTCATCATGATTCAACTGACAGCTTCTGTTTAATTTCATGTGGCAGTTCTGTCTGATATCAAGCTGATATTGTGCTTTGAACATGTGTTTTTTGGGGGGTGAAAAAATGATGTTCGTATGTCTCTCTTAATAATAAATCATTCCTATGAATACACCTTCCTTCTTTAAACATGGAGTGTTCTCCTTATGCTTGTGACTTCTTGATGTTTAAAAATACACTAAAACAGAAACTTATAAGAATATGTTTCTACTGTGAGGTCCCTGCCTCCACCTGATTATGTAATTAACCAACACACAGGTAGGTTTATATATAATATACTATAACTTCTATAATTATACAGTAAGTATATGTGTTGGAGTCAAATTGTTAAATGTTGTCATTGTGTTACTTAAATTTGTAAGTCGGCAGGGAAGGCTGTTTCTTTGAAGTTGGCTAGGAGACAGGTGAGGAGCATTCAGCTCCAAGAGCCTGGTTCCGACCAGCCTCCCTTGCTAGCAAGTAAAAACCGGTTCATTTCCGCCGCTTGTATCCGCGATCTCGTTTTTTCGGTCACTACCCACAGCTCATGACTATAGGTGAGGGTAGGGACGTAGATTGACCGGTAAATTGAGAGCTTCGTTTTACACTCAGCTCCCTCTTCACCATGATGGACCAGTGCAGCGTTCGCATCACTGCGGCTGCACCGCCAATCCGTCTGTCGATCTCCAGCTCCCTTCTCCAATCACTTGCGAACAAGACCCCGAGATACTCATCTACCCTCCACTCATCTGGGTCGGGGATGAGTTCCGACCCGGAAAAGAGTGAACACAGCACCCTTTTCTGGCTGAGAACCACGGCCTCAGATTTGGGGGTGCTGATCCTCATTCCCGCTGCTTCACACTCGGCTGCGAACCTTTGTACATTTTTATGAAAAGAAAAGAGAGTTTTCGGTACCTCCAGCTGCTCCTGGAGGTACCGAGATCCAGGAGGAAGCTCAGAGGGGACAGGGCCTTTTCTAATTTGCCCTTGCACGTTAGAGAGGCCCCTTCACTCTCCACTTTTAAATCACGTCTTAAAACCCACTTTTATTCTTTGGCTTTTAACCTCAGTGAGACATAGTTTTCTCTTGTAATGAAATTAGTTGTTTTATTAATTATTTTCCTTTTTCTTTTATTTGGCTTGTATTTATTTCTTATGTAATTTTATTATATAGTTCCTATGTACAGCACTTTGTGTCAGCTGTGGTTGTTTTAAAGTGCTTTATAAATAAAGGTAATGATGATGATGACTATGGATGGCTTTCATCAGTCCAGCCATGATCTGATCAGAATACCATTATGACTTATGACTTGTTCTTTTCCATGTATCTTAATGCTGCTTAGCCAGCAATGTTCTGTTGAAAAGTGATGTGTTGATGCATGCTCAATCATCAAGGTAAGGAAATCCCAAAAAGTTGATTCTGCTCATCTGCACGTTTTCAGTGGGAGAAATCTTATCCACTTATCCAGGTGACTTCTTCAGTCACTTCTGACTGCAGGTTTCCCTTGTTAGATATTCCCCTTTAGGGATTTCTAAAAGGAGAACAATGTCTGCATGACGCACTGTAGAGATGGTGTCTGAGAGCTGGTTCTACCGAAGAGGGGCCCGAAACCTGAACCCTCTGCCTCCCATTCTACTTTTAAATACTCTAGGAACAACAAGTGAGCCTGCAGTCTGAGAGTTCTAGTTCTATTGGGATGATACTGTATTATGAGGCCTTTAAAATATGATGCTGTCTGATTATTCAAGACCTTGTATGTGATGAGGAGGACTTTACATTTGATTTTGGATTTAACAACTGGATTTAATTTAAGAGAAGCCAGTACAGGAGTGGTGTGATAACACTCTCAGCTTTATTAAAAAGGCTCATAAACGCCTGTATTTTCTGAGGAAGCTGAAGGGAGCGGGGCTGAACTCCACCATCCGCAGTTCTGTCTACAGGTGTGTGGTGGAGAGCACAATGACTGCCTGGATTACTGTCTGGCCCTGCAGCTGCACCATAGAGAAGAGAAGCAGACACCGCAGTGAGTGGTTAAGACGCATGGACTGTTTTTCGCCCTCCCTTCAAGCTGGAGGCTGCGCAGCATCTGGGGCGAGATCCACCAGTCTGAAGATGAGTTTTTCCAGATGATATGAGTCTGATGAACTGTGCCAAACTGCCTCCGAATATACAGTCTACATTCTGCATTTTGAATTGACTTATTGACTCAGCCATTATTACTTAATAGGTCATTTATTTATTTAATAGGTTTTTATATTTATTATTAGCAGCACCATAAATCTGCCTCAGCAATGGAAGTGTGGAACCTTAACATCCCAACCACCCTCAGGATGCTGTTGAAGTTCTGCCGGACATAGAAGTTGAAGATGTCACGAAACGGGGCCTCTGCCATACATTCCCAGTGCATGCTCCTTATCCGTTTGGGCACGCCAGGCCTCTCCAACTTAATCCCCCACCACCATATCCAATTCAGCACCTGGTGGTATCAGCTGACAGATCTGCTCCTATCTCCACCTGAGTGTCCAAGACATACAGCCACCAATCCTACATCCTACAACCCATATCTCAACCTGAAGGTGCAGGGAAACAATCCGTTCATCAACCATGGAAAAGTGCTGAGTACTTGTTTTTACCTTACATACTGTATTTATGTTTGCTTGTTTCAATCAATCTCTAAATAATAGGAATGTAAATAAAATAAAAACAACAGAAAAGTGCTCAAGACTTTCATAGTACTGTATTTCTTCTTCATTTTACATAATAATTCTCTTTTTGAATATTCCTGAATCAAGCATATTTGATCATTTCCAGGTTTACATGAAACCAGGACAGATTCTCAGTGTGGTCTCATTCTTCTGAACTCTACTGCATGCGACGTGAAACATACTTTTACTAAATCTATCACATGTGGACCATGGATGTTTCCTACCTCTCAACATAGATGCTTTTGTTGGTTCCCAGAAGGAAGAGGCTGTTAAGGATTCTGTAGCAGGAAACCTGGACATCACCCACTGAGGCAAGAGAGACAAAATCTGTAGGCAAACTGACATCATCGTCCAGATGAAACGTGAAGTTTTCACTTACAAATGAGGTCTTCTCCAAACATGTTCTGTCCGATGTGTTCAAACAGTGAGGAGAGGACGGGGAGCAGGGCGAAGGTGGTGTAGTTGATGATCTGAGTCGCTCCTCGTGGTTGGTCCCTGCTGTGAGTGAACTGGCCGAGCTTCAGGTTCTCCTGAGTCTTCTCCAGATCCTTCGCTGCGCTGTCGAAGTATGACCGTAAAGCCGCCTTCACTGACTCCAGGCCCGTCTTCATCACTGTCCTGATAGAGTTACATTAATATCTTGACAAGAGATGTTCTTTTTTCAAACACGAAAAAAGCACTTTGAGAAAATATGGGCACATTCAACCAGTCTGATAACTACGGGGCAATTTTACCAGTATTTGCTAGTAAATATTATTCATTCAACGCGGTCAGGATTTTACTGAGTTTCCAACTAAATGGTGTTGACGATTATTTTTGTGAGAGGCCTCGTTAAACTTTGCTTCTAAAAGTACAAAACAATGAAACACATAATTATCTGAGGTAAGAATTCACTGTTATAGCCGCACATAATGATTATCCTTTATCAGTCTGAGTTTTCATGATGTTTCCAGACAGAAACACATCCATCAAACCTGTCTTATAGCTATACTGTGCTGTTTTCTTAGATTCTTTTTAATCTTTTTAATCTTGTTATTTCAGCCAGCTATAATTTGGAATTATGGGTTTTATCACTTGCATTGCGAACTAAACTTTGTAGTCTAGGCTTACTTATGCAAGAGTTTGTATTTTATGGCATTCATTGACTCGGATTTCTGTCCCACACCTGTTAACTAAACTTTGGTCTCCTGGCTGATACACTAGTTTGTTATTACGTCTCTGCCCTTCAAACCCAGACTTTACCACTGTTTAAAAGAGGACTGCTATCTCTTGACAGCTAATATTGCAGCTTATATGAATGACTACCACACTCAGTGTAGTTCATACTGCTTTGGGTTAAAGTCACTGATTCCTTTCCTCTGTGGTACTTATTTTTGAAAATCTGCGTTGATTCATGTTAATTTTTCTGTATTTGTTCTTTTGCTTTATTCATTTATGTTTTTCCATAGAAAGCTGAAAGCATTCCCGTCATTCATCATTATGAGGTCACAACTGGTCACGTTTTTACCTGGCATCCAGGCTTTGTCCCAGTATCTGCAGACAGTTGACAATGGAAGTGGCATTGTTCCCTGGTGAGCAGAGAGAATTAGCTGTGAAACTGCAAACTCACATCATGGAGCGCAAAGGCTTCACACAGTATCTGTCTTGGATGTGAAATTTTTAGCACAAAACCACACTTACACAACAACTGTTATGTTATGTTGAGGAAAATGATGTTCCTTGGAAAAACAATAAATAAACAATTATAAAATAAAGTTTATGTTAACTGGAAATGTTACACTTGCTACTTTTACCCTGTCATCAGTGGCTGATAGCAAAAGCCATTAAATATCAGCATAATTGATATTCTAACAGCTTTTGCTTTACGTGCAACTAATAATTATCTTTCATTTTTGACAATATGTTTCTAAAGTGCCCATTTTTGAGTCTGAAGAAATGGAACATCTTTTTCCTGTGAGGACACAGTGATGAGGATTTATACACCCACAATACCATGCATGCACACACACTTAGGGATGCCACGACAACTCATACTTTGCTACCAAGTCACTGGTAGAAAACCTAGATAGTATTGGTATTTTGCATTGGAGGAAAGAAAAGTCTGTTCAGTCTGTCACTGTATGTGTGAGTGGTATCATATTTATCATATATTAAAGTATACAGGCTCAAACCTTCTGGTATCGTGACATCCCTGCACACACCTGCACCAATTACAAGTTAGCTTATGAAGCTCCCGTCTGATAGGACAGGAGGAATGTACTGCAGTTTAAAAGTAAACTGCAGTAGAAGTGCCATGTATCAAAATACAGTCAGTCAGAAAAAAGTTTCCATAGGACTCCATGCAGTCCTGTATAAAACTGAGTACACAAGTAATAATTCAACAGGAATTAACAGGGTAAGTAGCAGCCAGATGTCCTTCAAATGCACTTCAATTATTGCCAATTAGCAAATGTGACCCTTTTTTTGCAGTTTGCTCATCTGGATCACTGATGTGTTAACATCAGGCCATAATCTTCCCAGGACTGGGCATGCCAGAAAATGCACCTTAAAGTCAGACTGTAACAATGCTCAGAGGAATTGCTGAAAAGACATAAGCTACAGTCTCAGTTAGCATGTTAAATATTACCTTTCATGACAGCACAGTTAGATTGAACAAGGAGTAAGCCTCCTCTCTTTAAAAAGACCATGACAACATGTTTTAGGTTTAGGTAAAGTTCAATCTGAAGAATACAAAGAGCAAAGATGTCACGAGACTTCTGGGATTGGTGATGGGCTTGTATTGCAGCCACAGGAGCTGGGCACCTCGCAGTCACTGAACTGACAATGAACCTCTCTGCATATCTAAGTATTCTGGACTCATATGTGAAGCCTTTGGTCTGACTGCTAAAGCTTGGCCCACAAATACAACAGAATTGCTGAAAAGAAAACAATCAAGGTGCCAAACATGAACCCAACTGAAACCCTGTGGCAAGATCTTGAGACAGCTATTCATGAATAAATACCTGCAAATCTTAAAGAATTGACACAACATTGTAAAGGAGACTGGGCCAGAACTCTTTCACAACAACACGAGAGACTGAAAAACTCACATAGAAAACCAAAACTACAGCAATGCTGCTAAAGGTGTTTTTCCAGTTAACTGAATCATGGGGTGTACTTAGTTTTTCACAAGGCTGCATAGTGAAAATAAACTCTTGCAAATGTTTCCACTGTTCAAAAAGTCTAAATGTGTTGGTAACATGCCAGGATAAACCACAACGTGCCATCAAAAACAGGGAAACAGACAGCAAGCTAATAAACACAGTTGCAGTTTTCCATCTTTTAAGAAAATTGGCTTAAAAATCAAATATTTTATCTTTAGGGAGTTAACTCGAATGTTTACACTGTCCTTACCAAACAAGGATATCCTATGTCTGACAAGAACTCCCAGTTTGCAGAAAAGACTGAAAAGATTTAATGGAAGATGAGAAGAAGAGGCAGAATGGAAGAAGAGGAAGACAAAAGAGGAAGACAAAAGTGTGAGGCAATCAAATGAGAGGAACACAGAGGAAAGAGCCCATAGGACCAGACATTCAATATTTAGGCAATAAGGCATTCTCATGTTTTATTCCTTTCAACAATATGCCTGACTTTTTACTGTTGTTGCAGGCCATGCTCACCTGGTCACCATTTCCTTCTCCTTGTTAGAGGCATGGCCACCACTGCTGATGGGATGGATGGCCGTGGACAAGAAGTACAGCCTGTGGTTTTTAAAGTACTGATCCACCAACGGCAGGACGACCTAGGAGTGAGACATGAAGCCTCAGAGCTTGTCAGTCATATTGATTTTCAGTTTTAATAAAATACATAGCTTTCTATACACGGAACACTTTGAGCATTATCAGGTGCCAAACTAAGTGGAGATATCCTCTGAATTTCAGGAGCGGGACCACTCCTCCTTCACGCCCCCTCTGGCCTCAGGCTATAAAAACCCCCCTTCTCCAATACCTGCTGTTCTCATTTTCATGCCCGGCCCGAGAGCCGTCGCCAGTCCCCTTCAAGGCCTTCCACAAACCGCAGCACTATTCACACTTCCTCATCCCTCATCGCCCATCGTTATTCTTTTTTTGAGTTAATTATGAGCACACTTTTTAGTAAATTACCTGCCACAAATTTAGTAACTGATGATTTTTATGTTCATTGCTCTTCCCCTAAAATTCTGCGCTACAGATACAACGCCACATCATCAAAAATTGTGTCCATGCCTTCACTGTGCTGTCACTGTGCCTCTTTAGCTAACCATTACAGAGGATTTTGAACAGGCACAAACCAGGAAAAGCCTGAAATTTACACATTTTGCTTTGAGTCAGTCAAATGCTTATTCTGCTCTGTGTCAATTTGGAAGAAGAGATCATAATTATTTGCAGTTTTAGTCAACCTGATAACTTAATTTTGAATTCTGTTGCTGATTACAAAAAACTAAATCTGATATATAAACTTAATAAAACAAAACAAGAAAAATAAGTGTCTAGTCAAAAAAGATTTCATCACCTTTCCAAAGAACTTGATCTGCTGCTCATGAGGAATCTTCTCTCCCTTTGGTCGTGTTCCCACATCTACAACAGACAGAATACAGTGAGTATGGGCTGATGAATTTAAGGTGTGGAAAATATAAAAACAGATTTTTTTATGCAAACAGTTCACTAAATAATAATATTTTTCCTATTTTTGTTTACATTTGCATTATCTTGCATAGTATTTGAAATTCCTCTGAGCCACAGAAAAAGGCTAAACTCTACTGTGCGAGCCGCCACAGCTGTGTAGCCACGAGCTTGAAATCTGAGGGACTAACAGGACTCGACTGGTATTTAAGTTTACTTTACTTACACATGAACACATTCATTACGTGCTATCCTCACTATACTTTAACCCTTTTCTGTAGCACACACATGCAAACTGATGGGTGGATTTGGGGTTCAGTATTATGTTTAGGGACACTTAATAAGAACTGGAGGAGAGAAGTAGACAAGCCACTCTACCTCTGAGCCACACAGAGGTGTTTCTAGACTTTTTACCACTGGGTCGTATAAGGAGTCCAATGAACAGTCAGGTAACAGGACATAAGAGAAATCTGAGAATTCTATAATCATGTTATGAATTAAAGTCAGAAATGAACACTAAACCAATTTCTTCAACTGGTTCAGCAGGTTTAGTTCCCAGTCCAGTGGTGCCTCATCCACACACCCTCACTACCTTCTGTGATTTTGCCTTTCTACCATTCTTCCCTCCAAGTGAACTCTGAAGATCTGATCCCCACACATCTGACAAACATCCCCAGTGACTGTGACTGTGACAACAGCTTGAGAAACTACACCACACAGTGTACTCATGCATGTGCAGTCATCCATGTAAAGTTGATTTTGTTCATCTGGACGTTTTCAGAGGGAGAAACATTTCATCCAAGTGACGTCGTCAGGTTCAACTTACTGCAGGTTTCCCAACCTTTTAAACAGTAGATATGCATAATGACTGACACTAGCACCACTGACTAACAATGGGTTGTGAGGTCAGTTTCATGGTCATTAACATGCAAATGATCAATGGCCATGAGTACCATTCACAGAGAGTTGGAGAATGGCTGCAATCACAGTATTCTAAGATGGTGAAAGATGTACCCTTAGGCTTCCTCCTGGATTCAGAGACGGTCTTTCCTTTTTGTGAATGGCCTCCTTGACCTCCCTGGAGGAACACTGGTTTGGGCAGATAAACCAATGGTCTCGTATAAGGTTACGTCTCTCTTTAGTTGTGTTCCAGCCACTGAAGCAGTGGAGGTAGTTTGTAAGAGATTGACCCCAACCTCAGCAACAGGGTCACTCTCAGCACCAACCAAGTATGTTTGCTTTTGGAACTGTGTCTTCATTCCACCCATTTTATATGCAAGAGTCAGTACTACAGGCAGAAACATGGGTGTGCCATGGGTTCCCCTGTTTCACCCGTTGTGACCAACTTTTATATGGAAGACGTGGAAAAGAGGGATTTGCTATCCTACCCTGGAACACCACCAAGTCATTGGTTCAGGTCTGTGGATGACAAATCTGGGTGAAAATCAACTCTCAGGACGTACCACAGTCTACTCAAGTTCACGAGGGAGGATATGAAAAGTGGCAGGTTAGCCTTCTTAGACTGTGAGATTTCCATCAGTAACGGGGGACATCTGAAAGCTGACGTGTACCGTAAACCTACGCATACGGATCAGTATCTAAGGTTTGACTCTCATCATCCACTTGAGCACAAACTGGGCGTCATCAGGACGCTACAACACAGAGCGAACACCATCCCCACTGACACAGCAGCCAGGGAAGCAGAAGAACATCACATCAAGAAAATGTGGTTATCCCAGGTGGGAAAGAACTTGCTCCAGTTGACCCAGGAAAGAAGGACAACGGCTGCCTAAGACGAAAACCTTTAGTGAGTCCTCAGATGTCAGGAGTATCGGAAAACAGCTGAGATGCATTTTTTTCTAAACACAGACTTTCTGTGGCTTTTAAATCCCAAAGGACGCTGCACCAAAAATTGTTCCACCCCAAGGATCGGGTCCCCCGACACAAACAGAGTAACATAGTGTACGCTGTTAAGTGCCAGGAGGATTGCCGGGGAAACAAAACAACCTCTGGATAAGCGGACGGCACAACACAGCAGAGCCACCTCGTCAGGCCAGGACTCTGCAGTCTATTTACACCTACAGGCCAGTGGACACTCTTTCAATGATGAGGATGTAACATCCTGGACAGGGAGGAAAAATATAGAGAAATTTTCAGCATACCACCGTCTTGTCATGTCCACTGTCTTATAGATTACTTACTACCTTACAAACAGGTTGCAACTCTGTCTGCATACAAAACCCAGCCCTGCATCTAACCAGGTGAAAACTCCAAATAAAAAAGTGTCATATTGCTATATCAGTGCTATAACAACACCATGCCTTCACGTTTCCTAGTGTGAAAAACAAAAGAGAAAAATCTGGGACTGTCTCAGAGCAAGACCCCAAGACTGTTTTAGCCTCCAGTGACAATTTAGTATCTAAAGAGAGAGCTACTTCCACAACCTTCCTCAAAGCATTGTACTTAGCAAAATATGGAAAAAACAAAAAACGTTCCTGCTAAAAGAGGACGACAAACTTGTTTCACCAAATGAGGCAAAAGTATCATGGTTGTTGTATCACATCACCAACAACAAGTGGCTCTTACAGGCATGAGAAGATTCTTACCAAACTCCATCATGTGTTGGTGTGCCTGGTCCACGTAGGTGATGATCTGCTGGAGAAAGGTGTAGGCAAATCGTTTCTCTATGGCAGGAGTGTCCAGCTCCTGTGACTGCACACCTCTGGAATCAGCACAAAGGACATTCTCCTTTTATTTGCATTTCTACAACTTGTGTTGTACACTGCTTTTGTTGAGTTAAATCAAATCCACACTCCAGCGCTGTGCTACACACACTAATGTTGTATTTTCTGAGTTAGACGTTTTAGAAAAATTGAACTTTTATGAAATTGATCTTCTGATCTGAAAACAAACGCCAAAGACAAACTGTTATGCACTCACTATCTATGCATGTTAAAAATTTCAAATATAGTTGGACCAACCTGGACACAATGTAACCATTGATTTGGAGGAACTTAAGGATATCTTGTGCTTTTTCTCTGTCTTTGGATTTTTCTTTGGCAGTCAGTGTGTCGTAAGGAACCAGCAGTGGGTGGTTTCCTCCACCTGGAACAGAGCAGCAGGGCGGAGAAGAAAGATAACAGACTGTGGCAGCACTTAACTATGTGACATCTTAACATCTACCAGGTTACTGGTGGTCCATTTGAGATCGAATTTTCATCTATTCAAAACACCAAAATGCAATTCAAAATGTCATAATAAAATCCGGTAAAGTAAGTACTAATCCAAAGGAAATTAATACTTGTTTTACCAAATTCTATAAAGATCTGTATTCTAGTAAAATTAAACCCTCTCAAAGTGATTTTAGCAACTTCTTCGATCAATTATCTATTCCCCAATTAGATGAAGCCCTGAGAGATGAAATTGATTCCCCTGTCTCCGAAAAACATCTTTTAGGAACAATCCAAGCCTTACCACTTGGAAAGACAGCTGCCCCGGATGGATTCGGTAATGAATTCTATAAAGCCTTCCAAAATAAAATTACTCCTCTCATGCTCAGGATGATAAATGACTCCGTTAAAAATAAAAGGTTACCAACTTCACTTTACGAGGCAAATATTTGTTTGCTTCACAAAACTGGAGAGGAGGAAGGCGACCCAGCACATTATAGACCCGTTGCTCTTTTAAATTGTGATCATAAAATCATAACCAAAGCCTCAGCTACAAGATTGAGCAAACATGTTTCAACAATTATACATCCTAATCAAACAGGATTTACTCCTGGTAGATGGTCATTTAATAATGTCCGTTTATTATTAAATACAATTTACTCAGGTTATGGAAAAGAGGCTAAAACAGCAGTACTTTCTCTGGATGCCCAAAAAGCGTTTGATCAGATTGAACGGTCTTATATATTTGAGACTCTAAAACAATTTGGTTTTGGGGAATATTTTAGGGATTGATTAAAATGATTTATCTGTGTCCTGCATTCTCACCAACGCAGATAGATCCTCCCCCTTTCAATTACAACGTGGAGTGAGACAGGGGGATCCCCTCTCACCGCTTCTTTTTGATATAGCTCTGGAGCCCCTTGCCATTAACATAAGAAACCACCCTGGTATACAGGGAGTTAAATTTGGGAATGCTGGACAAGCTCAAAGACGATATTAGAAAATGGAAACTGCTTCCTCTGTCTCTAATTGGTCGAATAAATTCAGTTAGAATGGTGTCTTTTCCACGATTTTTATATCTTTTTCAAAACCCTCATATTTATTTGCCACTTAAATGTTTTAAGCAGCTTGATTCATTGATTCTTTCTTTCATTTGGGCAGGAAAACCCCCTCAGATATCCAAGGCTCATCTTCAAAAAAATACTTCCAGTGGGGGGTTGGGTCTCCCTGTGTTTAGACATTATTACTGGACAGCAAATTCAAGAGCTCTATTGCACTGGCAGTGGGGTTTGCCTGCTGATTATTGTTATAAGCTTCCTGTCTGGCTCCAGGCAGAGGCAGCAACAGTATCTGAAGCCTCATTACCGGGCTTATTGTTTTCTAACACAGGTTCTTCTAATAATTCGATCAGTCGTAATTTTGTTGTTGAACACTCCTTAAAGATATTAAGTCAAATTAGGAAATCTCTTAAACCAGCGGTCCCCAACCTTTTTTGTGCCACGGACCGGTTCATGCCCGACAATATTTTCATGGACCGGCCTTTAAGGTGTCGCGGATAAATACAACAAAATAAAACTAGTACCGGTACCGAAAAAAAGAAAATTTATTCATAACACACGTGAAAAGACCCAGGAAAACAGAGTTAATGATAAAAACGATAACAAAATAACGCTGAACACCGATAAAAACCCTGAAAACTACACATTTCACACCTGAACCTCAACTCTCGCGGCCCGGTACCAAACGACTCACGGACCGGTACCGGTCCGAGGCCCGGGGGTTGGGGACCGCTGTCTTAAACTACCAGACTTTTCAGTTAGAATACCAATAATACATAACTACTTGTTTAAACCAGGTAAAATGGAGAGGGTGTTTTTAGAATGGGGGGGAAAGGGACTGAAATGCATTGAGGACTCATATATATAGATGACAGATTTGTGTCTTTCCAACTTCAACAGAAGTTTCAGTTACCTCAATCACATTTTTTTCGCTATCTTCAAATAAGGAATTTTGTTCAAGGAAACTTTTCAGACTTTCCACTGAAGCCACTAAGTCATACTTACTTTGATATAATTCGGAAAGCAGATTTTAAACATCTGATATCTCAGTTTGTGAAGTGCTTTACAATCCCAGCTGATTCTGATGGAATTAAGAATACACGGGCTGAAGACCTCGGTGTTCCTGTCTGAGGACCAACGGTCAAACTGTTTGTCCAACATTCAGAAAGGCTCAGTAAACGCCAGATATAAACTAATCCAGTTTAAAGTCATTCACAGATTACACTTTTCTAAACTTAAACTTAACCGGATCTATAATTCTGTATCCCCCTTATGTGACACGTGTAATATCGGTGAAGGTTCCCTTGCACATCTATTTCGGCATTGCCCTGTCTTGAAAGCTTTTTGGAGCCAGATTTTTACGTGGTTTTCAAACCAATTTGGGAAAAAAGTACCACTTGATGGTACACTGGCTATACTTGGATCATTTGCATCAATCGAATCTTTTTCCTTTTCACAAAAACAGATAATTACAATGGGTGTGCTGGCTGCAAAGAAACGTATTCTTTTACAGTGGCGGTCTTCTTCGGCCCCGTCTTTTAACAGGTGGCTTAATGAGATGGTGTCTGTGGCCCGGGTGGAGCAGATAAGATTTGATAGAGAGGGGAAACTGGCGGGTTTTTGTACGATTTGGCAGCCATTTCTAGAATTCTTAAAAATTAACTGATCATAATTCATGCCTCACACTCCGCGTGAATTTTCTTATTTTATTTTACTCTTTATTTAGTTAATATTGTTATAATCTTTTCTTCTTCTTCTTTTCTCCTTCTTTTTCTTTTTTCATGCTTATAAGTTCACAAATGCTAAATGTAGTAAATGTCCTCAGTTGAATCTGTACAAGCATGCTGTGTTTAATTTAAAAGCAAAAAATAAAATAATTAATAACAAAACACCAAATTGGACGAGCTTCTAACAGAGAAACTGCCATGCCAAAATGACTGTACGGCACTTCAGTTAATATGCAACAAAAATCAAAGGGTTGGGTAAAGTTGCTATAACAGCAACTGTAAAGCAGAGGTGTGGGGAAATGGTATTGATCTTCTAAACAGCACTTCGCAGACTTCCATCTGTTTTATTTTTACAGGCTATGCATAAAAAAGAAGTCAAGCTTTCTGTGTTATCTGTTTGTGGTGGCAGAGAAACAAGGAACACCCTGTGTGTGTGTTTGCTGTGTAAGATTTACCTCTGGCTTCCAGCTCCAGTTTCTTTTTCCTGGACCAGATATTATGATAATTCTCTGCAAGCAGCTCTGCCATTGACTGGAGAAGTAAATGTTTGACATGTGACTCTTTTACACTGCACTGATCAATTCATCCATCAATCAATCTGCATTATCAGCTCCCATGAGTAATCTGGCTTTGCATGCATTGTGTTCTTGTGAATAATTTACCTGCAAGTCTCTGGACAATGTCACATTACTCATATCAGTGGGTCTTGGACTGAAAGCTGAAGCTCCTTCAAAAGAAAGCTGTTGGAGATTGAACACACAGCATTATATATGATGTCACCTTTCCCTTTGATCCATAATGAGTACCTCGGGAACAAATGTAAGAATGGGTGGTGTTCATATACACCTGACTGGCCTGTGATATCCTTCTGGGCTTGTTGTGAAGGTTGACAGAGTCTCCCTCTCTGATCCTGTCAATGCTCCAACCCCATGAAAGCATGGTCTTCAGAGACTCTCTGATGGGCCAGCAGTATGTCTCTTTATCCTGCAAAGTCACAGTTTACTTTCAGATGTACTGCAAAAACCGAACAAAGCATGAACTCAGACACACCAACACATGATCTTCTGCAGGATCAGTTGCTCACATGTCTGTGCCCACATCAGCTGATACATTTCCATTCATTCAATTAGTAAATCTCATTTGATTACTTTGCAGTTATTTATTTGTAACAAATGTTTGGAATCATGTTTGATTTTCGTTCCACTTCTCACGTGTGCACCACTTTGTGTTGGTCTTTCACCTGGAATTCCAATAAAACTGATTCATGTTTGTGGCTGTAATGTAACAAAATGTGGGAAAGTTCAAGGGGCTGAATACTTTTGCACGCCACTGTAATTATTAAATAATAAAACTGATACGTTTCTCTTTTGCAACAAATATTAAATAACACAATGGAGATGAAGTGTATGTAAATAAATATCTAAAGTTTATCTAAAAGAAAGAGAAGAGAAAAGTGGCACCCCTCAGCCTTTTAGCAGATATACCGATGGTATCATTTCAAAATCCTACATCACCTCATTCACAACAATTTCAGAAAACTCACTTTGACCTTGAGGTCGAGGTCACTGAGATTTTATCTCCTCTGACATTTTTAGTAAATGCACCTGTAGTATCAATTTCAGAAAACTTAACCTCTGACCGTGAGGTCAGTGAGATTCAAACTCATCTCACATCTTTACCTGTGGTATCAATTAGAGGCTCCTACGTTTCTGAGTTACTGCATTCACAAACGTAGATGTTCATGCTCAGCCACCAGGGTGACGACAACACCCCATCAGCCTTTTACTGCTAAGGAGTAAAAACTGACTCATTCAGTTTTCAGGTATGAGTTTGGTGTAGTGTTTCAGCAAACTGTAAACACAGGTAGCTGTCCAGCCAGGAGAGCTACCTGTGATTCAATACAGATTCATGCCATGCTGTTTTTCATCATTACTAAGCTATCACTGACCCAAATGAAGCACTCACACAAACTATACAAATCTTTTGTAAAATATAGAAAGCTCCCAACTTCCACAGAAAGATGTCTGCATGCAGACTACCTTTTCAGACAGGCTTTTGTATGGTTTCAGGAGTGGATGGCTCTTGCTGATTTCACACATCTGGTCTCCATATGACCAGCCATTGGAAAACTACAGAATATAAGTTCACATTTACAGATCAGATTTTACAGCAACCAAAAGCAGTTCTATTTTGCTACATTTCGTGATGACAACAAGAAACACTACAACATTTTTAAAAAGCACACAAACATTTCCCCCTCAATGTTATTCAAAGTTTACAAGAAATATTTCTCTCTCTAAAAAAGTATCAGCAGAATAAGTTGGTATATTGACATTTATGTCAATCATTGGCTTAAAGTATAGTATACCGTAAAGTTTGCCAAACAGCATGCATATGTAACAGAATGTTTTATATATTATAGCTGTGGGGTGTGTTCTTCTATGTGTAATCATTGGGTGCATTTGTTATCAGTGACTGTGAAAGACTGTTGATGTACCACACTGTTTTTGTCGTCATGGTGAGGGGGAAAACAGTATGATCAGGAAACACAGAAGAAGAATAAAAATCATACATACCTTTTCTATACACCACTTCTCATGGATGTGCTCCGCATATCTGGTTATAAAACAATCCAGTTTCTCTGGAACAGTCACACTGTCAAAGCGAGAAAAAACAAACCATCGCATTAGAAACAGAAATGCAGAGATGAGAAAATAGAAATCTGCATCTGGATTTGTGTCAGTGTCCAGTGCCAGGAAATGACTGAAGGCACTCCAGTGGAGCATTATGGAGTCCTGCATCAAAGACTGAAATATAAATACAAATAAATATACAGTTATGCTCATAACTTTTTTTATTATTTCAAATGTGTTAATCGCCAGACTGTACACTTAGGAATTTATCTCTCAGCAGTCAACGCTACACTATCAGTTAACTATCGGTTAGCACCAGTGGGCCAGCTGAGACCAGTCCATACACGTACCATAACACTGCCTAGGACACTGCTTTATAATATGAAGCACATTAAGGCCACTACTTTGATTTGGAGCTATTAAATAAAACTCAGGTGAATTTCACATTCTTTTCATGATGTTTGTTGGAGACCTCTTCACCCATGATAGTATAAAAACTTAAAGTTCAGTTTTGAAAATGTTAAATACATGGATCAAACTTTACAGTTGGTTTGACCATTCAGTCATTTGACACTGCAAATCACCAAAACTATTTCCTGTAAACATCCATTCGTTCTTCCATTTCAATCTAATCTAGTAGAAACAATTTAAAAGAAAATAAATACAGAAAAATAATATTCTTGCACACAAGCTTCCTCATAGATCCCAACCCAGATGTGGAGGTTACTTCTGAAACTGGTCAAACTTCATTTAGCCTATTGTTGGCTGGGTTGTTACTTCTTCAGACCTGTTTGAATGAATAGCATTGTTATTCATTTTTATTTTCTGTTAGAATGCAACTTAATATTTTGATTTATTCTTTAGATTTCTTTAATCTCTTAAATTGTGCAAAAGTCTTGAGCCATATTTTACATAAGAGGCCAGACTTTCACCTAATTGTTCCTTTTTTAAGTTCTCCTGAAGGCTTCAAAGAACAACTTTGAAGGTGTTTGTTCTTTGGACATTGGCTTTTTGAATCATTTTAAGTCCTGTCTTCATACTTTAGAGGGGAATGTTTTTTCAATGAAAGTGTATTCAACCACTGTCAACTTGACAGATGTGCAGGGGTGCAACGTATCAGCTGTTTGTGCTGGGCTATGTCTTTAGAAATGTGAACAAAAAAATGAAGAAACCTCATAGTGGACATTAGAAGACTATCAAAAACAAACAGTCTGTGCTACTATGTGAATTCCATGAATTTAAGGCTTTCCTACTTGATAATCAGTTTTTGTTGTTTCCTTTGAAACCTTCGATTTGTTTCGAGGAGGTGAGCACGTGCTCTCGCAAGATTAAAAAAAAAGACGGAGTTTTCATGAATGCACCTCTGTGCTGAAAACTGTTTCTGGACTGAGCAGCCTAAATAAACTGAACAGGCATATTCTGACTTGATCATTCCATCAAGTGAAAATTGCTTCTGCATATTTATAAGATACACGCTGTTATGAATTCAAGATGATCTCACAATGTTTGCAGGTCTGCAAACGCAGGTCTGTTACTTAAACACCAGTTTTAGTAACAAACTCTCAACTGTATACTTTTAAAAATGGGATTTTAACAGTAATGTAAAAACTAAAAGTTCTTCTGTATTTATTTTTATTAAAAGAGAAAACGCATTAATGACATTCATTAAGATGTACAGACAGGCAGAGATGGGGGTTTGGGAAAATACAAAGACAGTGACTGTTTTTACAACAGCGTTCTGTAAAAACTTCCTGTCAGTGATTCCTGAAATACCATTTACAAATGTTAAAGACGGCATAGAGAGGATATCTGGGCTGGGGTTTGGAAGTTGTTGGCCTTCTGTGGGGGGTCGGAGAACTGTTTGAACCTAATGTGTGACAAAAGAATCCACTGCCCTCTCTTACCTGTCTGTAAAAGCCCTGCAACGATTTATCAGAGATGCGCAGAGCGCGGACGGAGAGAAAATAAAGGTGGTTCACAGCAGGCAACTTACTGCATTTTAAAATGATGCGATCCATACATTATTAGTAAAACTACTCTTAAGAGATCTACGTAACATATTTAACAAATTGTGATATTAAAGTGTTTATTTATTTATTTATTCGTTGTCAGGTTTCCGACAGTTCTTTCCAATAAATTGTGGTTTATTCTCTGCATTCAGGTTGAGGGTCATATGATGGAGTTTTCCCACCTATAACTAAATAAATACATGATGCAGGTTGGACACTTATTTGTGGGACGTGTAGCATTTATTGACTGCAAAATTTTTGAACCAGAGTATTGACATGAATTGCAAAGGTGAAATACCAAGATTAGTGACAGACAGCTTGAATAAGCAGCCAGGACTGTGATCATTACCATTACGACTGTTCATTTATTGGGAAAGTTTAACTGGCGGGAATTACCAATAGTTTTAAGCACAGTGCCAGACCCTCCTGGTTCTCTCCTTCAGCAGCAGTTCACTGACCTTATTTAATCATCAGAAAAATTTAAATAAAGTGCCAAATATTTCTGGCAGATAGCACACACACATACATATTGTTGTGCAGTTGGGGCATGTTTAAATTCAAATTTAACATGAACTACTGCATTGATTTAGTAACTGAAAGGTCAGACACTTTTTTGAGGGACAGCCACCGTCTCTGTTGTTGCATTTGGAGTGTCCATTTCACAGGGTAATGTTATAAGAGGAGTCAGACAAATGTGATTTCACCAGTACTGCCAAACGTAACTATCTGTGATGGCGCTATGACTGTTCGTTTATTAGCAAAGCCAATTCATACAGTAACTGGCATGGCTGGAATGCCCACACATGTACAGTAGATGCTCTGGTCCCTCTCCTGCAGTACAGTAGTGTTTCACTGACACCTATAAATTTAGACCAGAGCCCGACATATTTCATCATTAAAAGCATCATTACATTGTTATTGCTGTCATGGTGCTCTCTGTCTGACCTTTTGTATGTCTAAAAATATACTTTTCTCTTACAGGACCAACAAATCATCAACTTCTGCTTAAAATGTGATTTTCATGTTTTAATTAAAAAAAGACATTGTCGTGCCATGCTTTCATGTCCAGTAACATTACTGAGGAATAACCCAAGAATGCAAGCATCACCTTTTGCTTTGTATCTTGCTTATTCAGTGTGCACAACCTCTGTAAATGAATGGACTTCCATTAGCACTGCGCCCCCTGGATGATGCACAAGACATTACACTGTTTTTATAAATGCTGCTTGGGAGCGTTAACCTGTTCCTGTTCGCATTGTACACGTCACAGGCGGGGAATATCGTTACAGTCACGGATCAACCGGCCATCAGGCAGGAATCCACCAGGTATCTGTCATTGTCCTGTCAGGAATGAGGTGGTTATTTTAAGTGGCTGTATCTGTACCTCACGTGTTTGAGGCTTGGCCAGATGTTGAGGAGGGTTGTTGTCCTAACCCAGAAAAGAATTCTGTGATCGTAGACATTTGGTGCTGCTGAGCTAACCAGTGAATTCCTTCTTTTTTGCCACTTCTAAAATTCTTCCAATCTCTCTCATATGTTTATTTTAGTTTTTCAACCTGAAGTCCTGTTTGGTAGCTTATTCACTCTTAATACTAACTTGGGCACTGCCGGTTTAGAAATTACAGAGAGTCCCTGTTATCACCAAATGCAAGTTTGCTACCCAAATCAATTCCTGGCTCCTCATATTTGGATGTTGACATGTGCCTGGGGGAGGATACTGAACCCTAGTTAAGTGTAAGCATGTATGTGTTTCTTAAATAAAGAATGTTAGATAAATAATGTGTGTGTGAGCGAGTTTGAAGTGGCTTATTCAGAGTAGAAGAGCATTTATGCACCTTTAAAAATGGGGGAATCTGCATAAAATGGCTTTGAACAGTTAATGCAATACTTTTGTTAACCTCCTGCTTCAATTATATCATAATGATTGTTTGATTTAAAATGCACCATGTTGGTATACAAAGGCAAAACAACAAGACATATCATTGTATCATTGTGCAAAGCATTCTAACCTGACTGTAAGCCAAACAAGTAAACATGTTAGAAAGAAGAAAAAGATGTACATACTTGGTGGTGTCTGCAGGCTGTGGTGTGAAGTTTCCTTCTGAGTCCATAGATGACTGTTTCTCCATCATGGCCATGTAGTTGGACTCCATATACTCTGGAGGAAGAGCTCCAGCCACAGCACTAAGACATGGCAGCGCCAGTTTAAATAGCTCCTGGTCGTACTGCTACATTACAACACATACACAGTATGTAAGTGTGTTGCTTCAGACATTATTGTGAACATTGAAGGCTGTCTGTTTATCATTTGTTTAAAGCAAATAAACTTGGGGAATATTCAGAATCTGTCATGAGGGTGAAGTGAGGGTTGAAATAGAGAATTCCAGGCACAGCAGATAAATTATGAGTTTTTTTAAACAGCGTGTCCAAACAAAAGGCAGAAATCTATCCAGCGAAGATTAGAGAAACATAGGGAGAAGAGACGGGCAGGGGTGGGTATACTTGTCTCCCTTGCTCCCTGCCTCCTCTTTCCCAATGGGCTTTACTTGGAGGATGAGCGGGATGCTTCCCCGCACCTTTTGGTCCTGATTGGTGTTTTTTTTGCTAATGTGCATAATGAGAGGCCCAACATTCTTTTGGAATCATTGGGTGGTGTACGCACCATCTAGGGACTATCGTGTTGCTGGTAGTAGGCAATGACGGTATAACTTGGAGAAGAGTGAGTGGGAGTAACGGCCTTGTTATGCTTGTCCATAGAAGTGCGACCCGTGTGCATTCTTTGAGCTACCACTAGATGAGCCTCACCTTGTGGGACAGGGCATCAAATATTCCCCAGAACATTTTCCTAGAGAGGTGCAGCTCTTCATCTGACGCTACTCCAAAGTTGCCCCAACCTCCAGCCAAACAGTAGTACTTCCAGCAACGCTCGTAGTGATTGGTCAACAGCTGAGAAGTCAAAAGCACATTAATTACCAGTCAATATATGACTGAAGCCAAATGAGTAAGTAAGGTGTTGCTGTAATTCAATCATATTTTCCCATAACAACTTAATGCACTTAATCAGTAACAACATTAGTTACTAACCATACAATTATACTGTTATTTGTGCTTCACGGATTTTACAGTTTTTCCACAAAGGGCTAGTGCGCATATTTTATAAATCTAATGGTAATTTGGTGTGTGCATTTGTTTTTTTGCACTGGGTAAGAACATTTCTATGTTTCATCTGTGCGTTTTCAGTGGGAGAAACAAGTGACGTCTTCAGTCTCAGCTGACTGTAGGTTTCCCCAATCTTATAAACATTTGCATAATGACTGAAACTAGCACCACTGAATGAACAATGACCAGTCAAGGAGGTCATTTACATGAAAAGGGAAAGACCATCTCTAAATCGAGGAGGGGGCCTAAGGGTACATCTTTGGCCATCTTACAATGCTGTGATGGCAGCCATTCCCAACTCTCTGTGAGAATTTGCATGTTAAGGATCAAGGAACTGACCTCCCAGCACGTTGTTCCTACAGTGGTGCTAGTTTCAGTCATTGTGCAAATGTACTGTTTATAATGTTGGGGAAACCTGCAGTCAGCTGTGCATGAAGATGAACTGAATCAACCTTTTGGCATATTGATGAATGTTCCCCACTGCATGTAAAAAGATACACACAGTTGAATGGTAATTATGTGTAATTATGTGAAGTTCAGTTCAGTTCTTTTTATTTCAAACCTATACATTCACCAGCGTTTCATGAAATCATTCCATGCAGTTGTTTGAAAGGGAGTAGGCAGAAGTATATACTTATTTAGCCCCACCCCCTCAGGTTTACATCCTCATCATCTAAATTTGAACAACAAAAACGTATACAACACCTTCAACTTAGAACATAACATCACAAAAAATATTTTCTCATGTTCAACTAAAACTATATTTAGATTTGCTAATTTGCAGAAGAAAATAAACATGAGTTTGACTGCTGTCTTGGGTTAATTGCATTTTCTTCATCCTTATACTTATTTAATATTTCTTTTTTGAGTTTTATTTTAAACTGGTTTATATCACCACTGACCTTTATTTCTTCTTTTAACTCATTCCAGAATTTAACTCCCACTATTGAAATAGACATCCTTTTCAATGTTGTTCTTACTCTTTGTAATTTTAAATTCCACTTCCCTCTAAAATTATACCTCCCTTCTCTTTCTAAGAACCATTTACTTATTTCGATTGGGAGCATCCCTTTCCTTGCCTTATATATTATTTGCACTGTTTTAAACTTCACCAGATCCTGGATTTTTATAGCTTGCGTCCTAATAAAGAGTGCGTTTGTGTGAGCCCTATACCCTAATGGCCTTTTTCTGCATTATGATTATAGTCTGAGTATTACTTTTATATGTATTTCCCCAAACCTCTACACAATAACTCATGTATGGTAATAGCAAAGCACAAGTGCCTCAATTCTATGCTTTATATTAACTAAAATGCCATATAACCATTTAGTGTAGTATTAAGTGGACACGCCCTGAAAGTAGATAACAGGGAACCATCCTCTACTGGAAAGTTACTGAAACATGGTTGTTTTGACTAGAATGAGAGAGCTGGTAATAATAATGGATTGCATTTATATAGTGCTTTTCGAGACCGTCAAAGCACTTTACAATTCCACTATTCATTCACACATTGGTGGAGGCAGCTACAGGTGCAGCCACAGCTGCCCTGGGGCAGACTGACAGAAGCGAGGCTGCCATATCGCGCCATCGGCCCATCTGGCCAACACCAGTAGGCGGTAGGTGAAGTGTCTTGCCCAAGGACACAATGACAAAGACAGACAGAGCTGGGGATCGAACCGGCAACCTTCCGGTTACAAGATGAGCTTCCCAACCCCCCTGAACCCCAAATAAATAATAATAAAACTGTTAAGCGTGTGTCACCATTTTGAGATCGGCGGCTGTAGGAGCCATATGAGTTGTTCCTTTTTTGATTAAGTGGGTTGGTTTAAATGGACTCACTGTATTGGTGCACGGGTGTGGGGCGTGTCTCATGGGTGTGGTAGATGATAAATGTGGTTGCACTCACCTGTTCACGGCACCTGATGTTGATGAGCAGAAAGGTAGGGTGAGCATGAGGCAAAACTTTCTGTTGAGCGCAGCTTGAATGATTTTGATGTATTTTAACTGTAACTTGATGGTTTATGTATATTTATGCACTAATTGATGCCATAGGCCAAGTTGTAGTTTGGCATAGTAGTTAGTGCAGTTCTTTGTGAGTAGCAGTTATTTGTTTGTGCAGTCTGTGCATTTGTTTAATCGTTAATCCCAGGCGCTGATTTGTATATTGGACAGTTGCATGTGGACTAAAAGGAGCAAATGGTACAGAAGTGTATTTTATGTGTCTATTGTTGCGCGTCATCTGTGTCCTCGTGTTTAGCCTGCCGTGGCCGTTGGTTGAGCCGCAACAGCGGCCCTGTGTCATGCAGGACGCATCTCGCTTCTAGAAGTAATTTTGTGAGACAATAAAGTGTGAAAGGATCTACTGAGCAGTGTTTTGTCTTCCATCAGATGCCTCTGAGGAATCAAAAGAACGCGGTGAAGTGTTGATATTTAACACAATGCATCTTTGGCCATGTTATAGAGTACTGAAAATGTAATGTAATGAGTAGTAATTGCATTCTTAGGGGAGTAATTAAGTAGCATAACTATTAAAAACCAAAACTCACAAGTAAGATGTAATAGATTGCATTTTTAGACAACAACCTGAACACTGGTTCCTATACATGCAAACTTTGTTTCCGACTTTGTTTCTCACCTTCAGAGGCATCTTGGTGTGCTCATTAAGTAGAGGAACATCAAACACCAGCCTCCTGAGTAGGTGCTGCATCATTGAAGGCCTTAGCTTACTGTACATTAAGAGGATTCCATACGTTAGTGGAATGTACCATCGCTGATCAAGAATACAATCAAATACGATCTATAGCATGTGTTTTTAAAAAAGGGTAGACTAAATGCTAAATACTCATTAAAGGTTGACTCATATGTGCATGTATGTCTTCATCTTACCCACAAACAGCAAGCAGACACTCCTCTATGGAGTCCCTCTGAGCTTTGGTGAGGCAGCAGCCTTTGGACAGGCGATAAACCGTATGAAGCAGCGAGTCAATTAGTGAGGCGAACGGCTCCGTCCCCGCAAACAGCGGCGCACATTTAGTCAGGAGAGGCAGCACTGCTGTACACAGATACCTGTTGAGCGCCAGTGCCATGTCTGTGGCACTCAGAGCAACCTAACACAAAGAATAGAGAGAAACAATAACAACGTAATAGAGAAACTACATGTGTGGCATGTACATATGTTTTTATACCTCTGGGGGAATACTATACACAGTGAATAAAGTGCGCAGTTGTGCCAGTAAGAAACAATATCAAAGGCTAAGTGTCGTGTTCCCTGGGCCTTGGACCGATGGGCTTTGAGTTTTCTGGAGTTCTTCTGTTTTTTAGTAGTGATTAACTTTGCATTTTGGTTCTATTTTCTGTTGTGTTGACATTTATCCTTCTGTTGTTGGTTTCCTTGTTTATTGCTGTGTTTTTTGTGTGTGGTTCAGTCATGACTCCTTGTTAGTTTACCTTTAGTCAAATCTGTATTTCTGTTCCTGAAGAGAAAGAAATATACACACAGACAGAAACTTACGGTGTCCAGAGAGGCGGCAGACCTCAGGTCTGGTAAGAACCCAACCTCCAGAAGGTGGAGAAGAAAATTCTGGTCTTCTATACCATAGACACGGTCCAGGAACAGCACCATGGCTGCTTTGTGGTCTGGACAGAAACCTGCTGACATGTCTGGCTCCACAACCAACCCATCTGTACATGCACGCAAACACAATTCAATTCTTGATTGCTGATATTACAGGATCAGTTACTGTTATTACTGGATTAGATGTCATCATGTCAGATGACTTTCTTACCTTTAGCCAGGTTAGGCATAGAGAATGAAATACTGATGACTCCCACCAAGTCTTCAATAGGAATAAGAGACCTCAAAATCGCTCTGATACGGATAGCTTCACCTTTACCAGCATGGATCAGCTAATAGAAAAGAGGTAGGGCTTAAGTGAGTGCACTATATACGTAAGGCTGCATGTAGGAGTTGTGCATTTTGAATCGCTGGTACTCCACTTGAAGGCCAGCCAGCACGGAGCCCGTAAGACCAGCGACAACTCTCACTATCAGTGACTCAATAATCCAAAATATTAAAACAAGCTCAGTCCCAAACCCCTCTTAGCTGGGAGCTATTGTCTGAGACATAGAGGATAAAGCTACGGGAATTCTTGCTTCCGGGCAATCTAAAAGTCTTTGTGCATGCAATATCTGCAAACAACAACTACAGCTACTCAAAAGAGGCTTTGAAAACACATTCTGCTCACTAAAGAGACACGTCGAGCACACTTTTAATCTGTTTGTGAACACAGTCAGCTATTCAGACACGATGCAAATGAAGTCGGGAGAAAACTTCTCTCCTCAAACATTTCCTAAGGCATTTTCCAGTCAGGTGCTCTAATTGGAGATAGGACCCTGTATAAACAGGTCACTGACGAGGACGACAAAGACAAAACAGAGACAGCTGAACAAATGCACGTGTGCAGTACAAAGTAACTCACATGCATCTCTGGAGCACAGCGGCCCAGCAGGTCAATGAGAGCAGAGTAGAAGGTCATGATGGCATTTCCCATGTGAATTGTATCATCTTCCTCTTCCCCTGGCATGTCACTGCTACACACAGAGACACACTCTCATATTAAATGCCCCTAAATACTTCAGACCATTTTCTTCTGACCTGTTATGCTCATTTCCCACTCTGTGCTTGTACTGTAGTTACTCATGAACTTAGTGACAGGATAATTGGTTCAGGCTGATGTTTGTCTGAAATTGTTCTTTTCTAAATGGAAAACACAGGAAGAGATAATCTGCTTGAACATTGTTAGTACTGGAAATACGACACGTAGTTTAGGAAGTTACCAAAAGGTGTGCCGAAGGAAAATAGTGCGCTCAAAGTCATATCCAACTGAACCCTGGGATTTTGTGGCAGGCATTCATAACTATTCAATATATACAACAAATTATAATTGCTATGAGTCAGCATTTTGTATGCCCTAATTTCCATCTTAAGAAAATCCCTTAACATTTAACAGGTTGTCGACAAGCCATCTAGACTTGTAGACTCATGTACAGACCTTTGTAAGGAATTTAGTCTACCAGGCAGACCAAATGCAAACAGTCAACATGATTGTGCTAGCGAGCGCTTCCTGTTAAAAGTGAGGTCTTTCTTGCCAGTGTCACCAAGTGCTGCTTATAGGGAGTTATCTGACGGCTGGTACCTTGAGTGTCTGGAGATAACTGCTGCTATGAATGGGTGCTGTATAAATATAAAGGAAATGTAATTGATCCTTGCCTGTTCAGTCCAACTGATCAGTCCTGTTCTGTCAGTGTGAACTTTAATATGTATATGTAAGTAATCAGGTTAGAAGTGTTGTCATACAGTGCCTTGCTGCTCTCAGACATAGGAGACGGACCATCTCTGGAGGGATCCTGAGAGATCTTAATGGCCTCCTCCATTGCTGCCAACAACCCATCACCACCTTCACCTCGAAGAGCCGGGCCAAAACATTCTGGTCGACGAATAAGGAGCCTTACCACAACATTGGCATTCTCCTCCACACTTTCACCTGGCCACATAACAGGGACAAGTTGCTAAGTTTGTGGTTGCACATGATACAAACTCCAGTGGAAAATAAATGATCTGACTGCAGTCGTATGGTTACATTTTTACCATTGCAGAAGACAGCAAAGCGCAGGAAGTCAAGGTATCGTTCCCCCTCCACAGGGTTCCAGCCAATGTCAGGGTATCCCTTACGGACCAGCATCACACAGCTCTGCAGCCCACACCCAGCTAGATATTGTACCACCTGCAAAAATAAATTATTATTATTGTTTTGGGTTGTTTGTTTCAAAAAGAAAAAATATAGCACAGTGGAAAGACACCTACAATTTACATTTAATTAACAGAGATAGAACAAAGCACAAAGGGCTTCAGCAGTATGGGATAGAGATGGACCGATCCGATATTACGTATCGGTGTCGGTCCGATACTGACGTAAATCACTGGATCGGATATCGGAGAGAAATAAAAAATGTAATCCGATCCATTAAATATCAAAAAGCACCTCACAAAACTGGCGACACGGCGACTCGGCTCATAACCGTAGCACGTCGGAGCAGTGTGGTCACGTGATAGAGCGGCTGTGTGTGTTTGTAGCCTCGCTACCAAACCAGCATTTCATCTCCGAGGAAGTGATCCCAGAGAAGTAAAGCAAGTGTGTAAGTTCGTCTCTGAATGTTTGTAAAGCTTTCCAGCGTTAAGCTTAACAACCGATATGTGGAGCGACTGCCTCTCTCTCTCTCCCTCTCCTGCTGCTACTTCAATCGTGAAACTGCTTAATGATCAGCTGATCGGCTTTTCTCTCTTGTTTGTTTTTGGCCCACTTCGTGCCAGAAAGAGGAAACCAGCGGCTGAACAACAGCAGCACGTTTAGGGCATGAACAGGGAAAAGGGGGCACAAAGACATACTTTTGTTTCTTATTCTCATTTAAAATGTCGAGCTTTTAATAAATAATTATCCGAATATTAAACCCAAAGTTTTAATCTGATGTAAAACGTATAGAAGTCCATTGCTGTATATAGTAACTGTTAAGTTTAATATACCCTAGTAAGCTATAGTACTTTTTCCTTTGGGAAGGTACCATCTGTGCAGTTTGCAGTTCTGTTGAAGAAAGATGTTGCTGAGAGTTTGCAACCCTATTAGTTAGGTTGCTTAATATTTCTGCTAAGTTCTCTTTAAAACACCAGAACAGGGAGGATGGAGCAGGTTTAAGTTTATTAGATTGATCAGTTTTGCTGAACTATGAAATATTTTGGGTGCAGTGTATTCTTTACATACAGGTGTAACAGAATAGCTTTAGTGTTGTTGTTTATTTCAACTTGAGTATGAACTTATACAAAATGCAGCAAGATATTAAAAAACTGTTTTATTGATTAAACCACAGTATATCGGATTCATATCGGTATCGGCAGATATCCAAATTTATGATGTCGGTGTCGGTATCGGACATAAAAAAGTGGTATCCCTAGTATGGGATGCCCGACCCGTTGCCATGGGACATAAACTGTGCCCACAGCTAGAGCTTGGTTCACATTACCGGCAGCGGGGACGGATCTACTGTGGTGGCATGTGCCACCTTAAAATAATCTCAGCGTGTAGCTTTCTGGATTTTATACTAATACATTTGTTTCCGGTGTCACCAATTCATAGCCTTTACAGACTATACGGGAATAATGGAAAATCTCAATTTGGCGGCCTGAAGATTTGCTTTGTGCAGGTGATGTTGTAGCCCAGTCACAGTCAGATAAAAGTAGAAACCTTTGGTCAGAATTACTACTCCTGTGGTGTAATGTGCTGCAAACTCTAAAGCAAAATTCTAATAAGATGACTGTATAAAAAGTTATTGTTGTGTTGAAAACCAAATACATTTGATTCTTGTTATTTATTCATTTTTGTTTAACAGTTGTTATTTTCTGACCTTGATGGACAATTTCATTTTTAACCAATGGGAATTGTTCTCCAGCCTTTAACCGTTTTCCGTTTGGTTACGCTGGTAAGGCTGATAACTAAATATGAGGAACATTGTTGCTGTTGAAAAAGAGGTTGAAAAGCGAGACGTCTGTTTTGTTAACTGCTAGATCTGGAGACCTGAAGCTGTTTCTTGTAAATGCAAAGTGCTTTGCACTGGCGAGTAGACTTTACAGTTGCCGCTGCTAACCAACATGCTGAAATGTTAACCCCGCTAACTGCTGCTATATAAACTCGTACTCTCTTTTTTCTAAGTGGTTTTAGCTTGGAAGCTGAGTACATATTTGCATCTACATGTTTTAAAGTAGTGTTTCTGCTAACCACTGCTATTATCAATTTGTATAATGAATGGGGTATAGTGAGACTGCTGTCTTAAAGGAGCAGTATGAATAAGACCTATGGAATTGATTAAGTTAATTTCATGATTGGTAAGGAATCAGATTAATATGCATTATAAAATATTTGATTTTGATAGCTGTGCACCAAATTTAAAACAGAACTTGAATTTACAAAGGAATACAGAACCGATTTGGGGATGAAGTTTAAGCCTAATTTTGTACATGCTTTCTTCCTTAAGCAGACATGTTTATGTATAATTGTCAGCGTGCATGTGAAGTAACTCTGAGCTGTTTGGCATATTCAAAGGTGTAGGGAGATGCTGGAGAAGGTTATACATGGAGCCAAGGCTCACCATCTACTTTTGTAACTTTCTCTGAGGCAACAAGAACTTAACAGACCCTAATCTTCATAAGATGGCAGCTCGCACCCTCGCCAGATTCCCCTTGCACCCTGGATACCACCCGTTTGACCCGCTGCCCTGTGGTCGACACCTCAGGTCAATCAAGTCATATCTTCTTCCCCAGACTGTATTTTATTCCACCACAGTTGGTACAATTTTGTTGTACATGTGCTGTGACAGTAACAGGCTCTTCTATTCTATAGGCTAAAGTGACCTCAGAATATCTAATACAATTTACGGTTTTCCTTTTGTGTGTGTCTAAGTCTTTGTCAGCCTCACCTTCTCCAGGTCTGGCTCTCTTAAAGCAAGGGCAAGCTCATTATTATCCATGACTGATGCTGCAGCCACATCCAGAGGAGTGGATCCTCGCATAGATGGAGATGCTGAGAAGAGGAAAAGACATATGTAAAGTGTATGCAACTATGCAAACTTTCACAATAGACAGTCATTTGCTCCAAAGCAACAAACATCCCAGAGCTAGAGAGGGTAGTCTGTCAATCCAAAAGTCAGTGGCAATCTGGGAGGTAGAGCAGGTCACCTACTAATCAGGAGCTTGGTGGTTCAACCCCCATCTGCTCTAGTCTTCATGCCAAATATCCTTGGGCAAGATACTAACCCCCAGTTGCTTTACGATGCAGCCATCAGAGCGTGAATGTTAGATGGAAAGCATAAAAAAGTGCTTGTGCAAAGCAAGTTGTGCTCAGAGTAGAAAAGTGCTTTATCAGAACCAGTCCATTTACCATTTACTTAATCCCCGAATGTGTGTTAGTGTGAATGCGTAAATGTGTATTCTAAAGTGCTTTGAGTGAGTAGACAAGATTTATATAAATATACACTGCAAAAACTCAAAATCTTAATATATTCTAGTCAAAATATCTCATCACACTTAAATAAGACACAATCAATTACAGAGTAACATTTCAGTGAGATAGAAGAACTTGTTTTTAGACAGTGCATGTTGGATCTGGAGAATTTTCACTTGTTCCATTGGCAGATTTTTTCACTTATTTCAAGCAAAAATATCTCGTATTAAGATGTCCAAGCTGTGAGCTGGTCCTACAGAAGAGGGGCCTGAAAACTGAAGGCTCTGCCTCCCATTCTACTTTTAAATACTCTAGGAACAACAAGCTTTGTTCCCATACTTGAAACAAACTGTCAAGTTTCATAGCTAATGCATTCATACCATGAATACTGGTGGAGGACTGTGTTCAAGTCCTCCACCAGTATGTCAATGTTCATTTTTTCACCCTGACAGAGAGCGCCAAAACGACACCAAGCGCATGTTTGTCTTTTTGAGCTCTATGTCTTGTGGGTAAATTGCAACGTCATTCTTCAAGCTTTTACACAACTCTGTAGCTGCTACCCGTCCTCAACTACCAACGCTAATCAACAACAAAACAATTCTGAGCTAGTTCCCTTTATTCCCTTTATTATTAATGTTGGTCACCATGCATTGACAATGTCTTCAACATTCCTTCATCTCCTGTTCTCTTCATGATAAATATTCAACTGAAATAATGCTTGTTAGGTCATCATTACTCACCCAGGCCAACACTGCTGTTCTCCAGCAGATAACTCAGATGGTCAAACATGGCTTTCTGGTTCTGACGGCTGATTCGACAGAAGTAACATAGAAAACGACAACAGTTGGCCACCATTTTTGGAAAGGTGATTTCCTGAAAACACACGTGCATCACAGGTTGTTAGACAAAATGTCCCTTTGTGTTTATTTATCTGAAAATAATTCAGGGGAAAAACATATATTTAAAACATTTTGTGACACATAATTTATTTGAAATACGAATGCAACATTTCCCCATTGCTCTACCATGCTTCATCATGACTCTTCAGTATGTCAGCACTATTACTACTACATACCTTGGAGTCTCCTCCACTGAGCACATTGACCATGACCTCCATGACAGTCTCGTGCATTCCCAACGCTCTCATCAGGTTAGGATGTTGGTAAAACACTTTGTTGTTCATGATATCTCTGAGAGGAAGAAGGATGGGTGAAATTTAAACCGACAGCTCAAACTCTTTCATATATTAACTGTTTAATATTTGACCAGAGTGTTTTGTTATTACAACAGTGATATTCAGGTTTTGACATTTAAAAGAGGTTCATGGGTGCTCATTTTTATTATAAGGCTTTTGGATACAAACCAAGTGAGAACAGTTTTGGGTCAAGTGCAACCAACAATGTCTAAAATGGAAAAAGCTGCCTCAAAAACCAGACTTCATTTTAGTTTAAAACCTAATCTCAAACCTAATCTGGGTCACCAACAATGTTGATCTTAACAAACATCTGTCAAATGGAACCAGAGTGCATTTTCAAAATTGCTAGCAATGGGAATCACATGCTTGTGACATTAAATCCACCAACTGACTACAAGGAGATTAATAAGGGGAAAAGGGATCATTTCCTTGTATGAAGCAAACCACAATTAGCCACTAGGGAAGAGGACCCATCACCTAAAAGCAGCAATCAATAATGTGAAGGTTACCTATATGACACATGTGCACATGTATTGTGTAGCTTCAGCTAGACTATAGATGTCAAATGCTACCAAATGCTACCAAGTCCACCTTTACCTTGCCAAGCAAGCTAAAGTGGGACTTGGAAACCACATTAGAGTAACTTGAGCTATGTGAAGCAGACCAAGTCACTAGTTGCACGCAATCTAATGCACTCCAATGCAAGACAATTTGTTGCTTTGTATTTAAGTGTATAATAAAGTGCTGAAGACGAGGCATAGAATATGTTTGTTGAGTGGTATCAATCCTGAGAGGAAGGCTGCTCTAGATCAAGATGCTGCAAATTGTCTGTAAAGAATGCAACCAAAAGAAAGACTTTTGTGCATGAATACAGGTGTTCTTTGGGCACAAAGGTTTGCAAACCATTGAAACAAAGCATATAACCCATAGGTAAAGTGAAATGTTCCTGTTTTTATTGTGCTGGACTGAGATATACAGATTATGTGTGCCTAAGCCATATCCTTACATGGACACTCTTTAAAGTTAGTCTGAGCAGTTACCCAAGAAGTAAAAGAATACTTGAAAACAAAAGTCCATCTACGACTAAGAGAAATTCTGAATTTGTTTTTATGTGCCTGTAGGGCATTCTGTAGATAGATTAAAAATCAAATATACACACATGCACAAAATTGTAATTGCTCTGTTTCTGAACTTTCATTCACATAAATATTTGTTTACATTTTTCCTCTTCTTGTTGGGAGTTAAAGCAAGTCTAAAGAAGAAAGTACTCCAAAGAAAACAAATCATTCAGACACGCAAGAGCCTGACAGATAAGTGTGCTCTCACCCCAGCCCTCTGATCATCAGTTTCTCCTCCTCTCTTCCCATGCGCACACTCAGCAGAGATCTGATCTGACCGAGAGCCGCTAACAGGTTGATGGTGTCCTCGATTGATACTGAGTTTATAGTGTAGGTTTTAGGAAGAGCCCGCACCTGCACAGACATATTCATACCTTATTAAACTGATTGACATACATTTAATATACAAGCAGAAGCACTGTTACTGTGCAAACGGAGCATGATATTTCACATCTGTACCTGAAGTAAGGAGAGATAAATGAATACACAGAAATTAACAACTTACATTGTTCTTTTCAAATAACTGTACTGTGAGAGTGCAATCTGATGTGGGACAGAAGGATTTTAAATGAAATTTTAATTCTAATTTAATGCTTTTAACACGGATCAATTGAAGAGAAGCTAATATAGGAGAAACATGGGCTCTCTTTCAAGTTCCAGTTCGTATTCTTGCTGCACCGTTCTGGATCAGCTGAAGGCGGTTCAGGGAGTTCTTATAGAGCATCACTCTGAGACGGGATCTTTCTAATATTAGTGACACTGTGCAAATAAATGAAGAACGTCCCACATGTTTGTTTGACTTGTGGAACTTGTTGTACTAGACTTGATTATCTGGTGAATTTATGACCACATCATCTGAACAAAGCTGACAGTCGGCCTCTGGTGAACTGGTAGGCAGGTCACTTTTCAACAAATTGAAAAGTAGCACCAAGGATTGTTTGCATGTGCATTTTTTGCTTTCTTAACAATTGTTTTGTTCAATCTGATCTACTTGACAGTTGCCAGATTTATTGTTTGGGACCCCAGGAAGCGTGTCACATATGGAGCAGGCTGGATAGCCGCTCCTCATATTTTCCTAAAAGAACAACTCTCACATCAGATTGTTACAAATATAGCATGACTATATTATATACATTTATTTGGAGATTCCAGTGGTATGGATTTTCTTTTCTATTACACACACAAACCTGTCCACCAATGCCATCATACTGGCGGTGAAGTAGGACAAACATAGCTCTGACCAGCTCTGGATCCTCTATAACTGACTCCTGAGCCCAGCGCACCATCGTATCGGAAATGAGTTGTTGTAAGGTACCTTAAGGAGAAGGACAGAGAAGGAGGAAGGGAGAGCAGGTCAGAGATTGAATGTCCTGAAGTCAAAGATCTTATTTACTTTTTTTGTCTCATAGCTACTACACTGTTAAAAAAAACATCGTGAAAAAACGGTAATATTCCGGCAGCTGGGGCGCCAAAATACTACCGTAAAATAACAGAAAATAGCTTCCTCATAAAAATACGGTTATTTCCAGTAATGAAAGTAGAGTTTGTTGAGCTAATTTTACATGGGATTCTGCCTTTTCCAAGTGCTTTTAGACATCAAATTAGGAACATTTTAACGTGATCAAACAATGAAATTACCTGTAAACAAGGTCAATGAATGTGGCAATATGAATCATAATGCGTAAATGTACAGAAATATACAGTTAACAGTTGGTTTAGATAATAATGGATTGCATGCCCTGGGACAGACTGACAAGTTGTTTTCATGTGCTACGTGCAGAGATGTTCTCAAACTGATCTCCCTGTTGGAGCTCAGTCTGGGGGGAGTGATTTTTGTTATCCTTATCTTTCCTCATGTGGTGCATTTTCCATTGTTATACCTCCTTCCCCATGTGATGTTTTGTGTAATGTATGTATGATCGGAGGGTAAGATGGCGCCGCCATTGCGTGCAATAGGTCGGCAGGTTTATGAAATTTCCCCTTGTGGGAGTAATAAAGGTATATCAAATCAAATCAAATCCATAGCATTACATTTGAATTCAACAGTTCGATCTTTCAAATAACGCACAGATATTTGTGAGATCATGATACATTTGTGAATGTATTTTAACAATCTGAATATGCATATGTACAGACAGACACAGTTAATAATCATGAAAATGATGTTTTATTACATTACAGTGATTTAACGTTAATTTACATTTGAAATGTGAAATCAGTCTATTTACGTAACTTTAATGATGTTCTAGAAGAACAGAACAAAACTGTGAAATGCAGTAAAATACTTTTATATTAGGATGTTTTCAGTGCAGCCGCGACCTTGTGGTTGTTAGTTCACATTCATTGGCCGATGCTTAGCGTCATGTTATTATGTGTCCCAACATCCAATGGCATGTCACATTGTTTTCATGGCCACACCATCACCACAGGTGCAGAGGCCTATTTCTGTTCAGGAATGTTGTGAATACTTTGAGATTTATATTAATTGCAATTCCTACCTCTACATTTATTTATTTATTTTGAATTTAACAGATCATTCTCTCACATAACAAACAAATATTTGTGAAATTATGATACATTTCTGAATGTATCTTTACAATCTGAATATGCACAAAAAATATATTTACAAAAGAAGTAAATTGTGTTTTATTATATTTACAGTGATGTTATGTTATTTTACCTTTGACATGTAAAATCACAGTCTACTTATGTAAATGTAATGATATTTTAGAAAGACTGCAACTGTAAAATGTACAGTAAGATACTTTGACATTACTATTTTTGGAACAGTGTAGGAATTGTACATTTTCCTATTCGTTGAGAATTACTAGCAGCTCATTTAAGAATGGCCTTACTGGGTTTCCTGTCTTTTTTTTCCTTTGGCAGGTTGGCCATCTTCTTCTTTAGATAAGCCACTTTCTCCACCAGTGACATGAGTCGACCTCGTATGGTGAAGTCACTGTCACAGTTTATGCCTCTCTCCTCGTCCAACTCTATACCTAGCAAAATGGGCAGATCAATGCATGTATGGTATGTCTACAATTAATGAATACTGACTATACACACATTACTGTTATATTTATTAAATGATATTATGGCTATTGATCTTATTCTGGCAACTGTAGTTAATGCAGCAGTGTATTGTGAAACTGACCACAGTGCCTCATCAGATCTTCATGGAAGTCTAGCAGCTGTTCTCGGATGTATTCAGGACAGGGACACTCCTGCTTCTCATCCTTAAAGTTTAACAGCATGTTGATCTGCAGATTGGTAAGAGAACCTTTAAAGCGACCATTAGATTTTCAATATAGAAATCCAAAGTACATACACATGTTTAGTTACAAGTTACAAGATGCTGTGAAAGCTGAAAGCTTTACTGAAATCATACATGTTGTGCTTTTGGCAGGACCTTTCTGCACTTTGCACAAATGAAAGCCCGGAGACCTCAATGAGCAGAAGAAACACTGTAAAGCTCAGTGGACCAAAATTCTTCCACAACGATGCAAGAGAAAATGGTCCTTTTAGGTTATTGCTGGTAAAAGTGGCTCTACAACATGTCTGTTTAGCTTCTCAGTGATCCAAGTCATGGGGGCCTTAAAAGAGCCTTAAAAGAAGGTGACTGGACTATAAAACTTTTGAAAACATTTCACCTCTCGTACAAGAGGCTTCTTCAGTTCTAAAACCAAGAGAGTCCCAGGTTTTTAAAACGGTAATATTTAAACCCAGTGGGACAGTGGCGTGGGGCAACGCCTCCCAGTGGTTTCACTCCAACATGTGAATCATCACATGTGGAAAAAAGTTGTGGATCACTATCACCAGAGGCTTTGGCTGAAACCATTGTGAGACCTTGCCTTACCTTATCATATAACCTAATGAAGTCACTTGACACAAGATGTAAGTGGGGCCTGGGGGGCCTGAGGTACCTGGGAGGGGTTGCTGGGGGATCGCTGACAGTTGGTGTCGTAAGCACAGTTGACCTAGACGTCCTCTTTTGCTCCTATAAACCATCTGTTTTCTCGGATCAAGCTGTGAATGCTGGCATGCATGAAAGATTGACCTTTATCTTTTAGGTGTAGATGTACAGCCAAGTCTTGTCCTGTTGAGGTGGCCCTTCTATGCTATGCCATGCATTTTTGGAGTGGCTGTTTGGTTTCTCCGATGTAGAGGTGTCACCTGTCCTCACTGCACAGCACAGCATACACTATGTTGCTTAGTCTGTGTTTGTTTTGTACTTGGGTCAAATCAGCTTTTGTCTGTGTGTGGCTGGGTCTGAAGTAAAGTGGGATGTCACTTTTGGAGAAAATTCTCCTGTTTCTCTTACAAACCTGCTAAATAAGGGGTGCAAAGTTGTTCTGTTTGTCTTTCTTTTCCTCCCTCGCTGGTGTCTGACCTTTTTTTTCTGTGCATCTTTGCTGACTTTATGAACGCCCAATTATGATAACCACATGTTTTAAGAGCTTCCTTTACATGTGTGTGTTCCTTCTTTTTCCCTTCAGGCTTAGAGGGAACATGTTCTGCCCGGTGGTGTAGGGTCCTGATTACTCCAGGTTTGTGTTCCAGAGGGTGATGGGAGTACTGGTCCGTGTGTGTGGGCTTCCGGTAAACTTCGATGTTGAGGTTTCCATTCTCCTTAATGTGCACGGCGCAGTCCAGGAAAGGCAAACAGTCGTCCTTTGTGTCTTCCCTGGTGAAATTTATGTTTTTAATCACTGAGTTGATGTGAGCAATGAAGGATTCTACTTTTTGGATTTTGATTTTGACCCAGGTGTCGTCAACATTTCTGTACCGATAGCTAATACTATCCCTTTAAAAGAGCCAAGAGTATACTTCAGACCCGGCCACACACTCAGACAACAACTGGTTCATCCCAAAGACAAAACTCCTAAACACAAACTTAACAACGTAGTGCATGCTGTGCAGTGTAGCGAGGAACGCCCAGACCTCTACATTCAAGAGACCAAGCAACCACTGGCATAAACACATGGCACAACAAGACTTGGCTGTTCATCTACATCTAAAGGTCAAAGGTCACTCTTTCGAGCATGCCAATGTTCACATGCTGGACAGAGAAGACAGGTGGTTTTAAAGAGGACTGAAAGAAGCATCTATGTCCACTGTGAACAGCCATCTTTGAACAGAGACGGGGCTTATGACACCAGCTGTCAGTGTTGAGATCCCTTCCCAGATGCCTTAACGCCCACTCACTGCCTTCTGACCTCAGTATATCACATGATAGGGTGGGGCCAGGTTTCACTATGGGTTCACCCTCAACCTTGGCTGATTAGCTGACAGTTTGCAAAAACTGTGTTTCTATACAAAGCCAAATTAAAATAAAATGTGTATGTAAGTCGCATTATTTACTGCTCTTCACTGAGCAAGAGTCCTCTGCTCGGCAACCATTTGAATTACAGAAAATGGTTACAGTTATATTTATGCTTTATGTTGTTCTGTGGTGTTCCCACCTGTTCCTGTGGGGGAGATCTGAACTCTTTGGTCTTCTTGGCAGTAAGGGCTGCAGACATGTTGAGTGCCAGCATCACCTCATTGTAACGAAATCGTTGGTTTTCTTGGAGACAAGCCACAAAGTCATCAGAGAAGGCCACCACTGCCTCAATACGATGGCGCACCTGGCAGTCACACAGGTACTGCAGCACATGACACATCTACACACACACACACACACACACACACACAAACAAAATGACATAGTTTAAAGAAGAAATTTTAAAAAATGCACATAGTGGCCATTAGGAAATCTCTTTCTAAAGCGATTTCGATATTAGGGGAAAGTTCTCATTCTGTGAAAAATGCCAAATCATACTGTTCCCTATCTATCATTGTAGGATTTCAACCCTCAACCTAAGTCAAGACCATGCATGACCCTACAAAACTGACAGATGACGTCAATGCAGAAATCCTGCACAAATGAATTGGTGTCATTACATCATTAAAAAGCTTGTTTAAAGCCCGATACAAAGAATGTCTCGTTTCTGTTTTTTATGGTAAGTATGATAGGAATTTTACCAGAAATTCTTGGTGTAGCTGCCTCTGTAGGAACAAGAACATTCAGAATTTGCCATAAGATCTGGGTCTTACTGCATGATTCTGGTTCTGGGTTCAGCTTTTTCTTTGATTGGGAACTTTCTGTGGAGTTCGTTCATTCTACCATCTGCTTCTAAAGATAACTGGCAATCTAAATTAGGCTGTCAATATGAGAGTAAATAGCTTTCTGTCTCTTTATGTCAGCCTTGTGATGAAGTGGTGAACTTTTTAAGAAGTACTCCATGTCTCATCCCACGAGACCTAGAGTGTAGCCCAAAGTAGCTAAGATAACTCATGGATAAGTGTTCTTGCAGCATAACTAAGTGGTGGTTTAGCGTTAACCGGTCCACCCCTAACTATAAGCTTTACCAAAAGGGAAAGTTTTAAGCCTAATTTTAAAAATATAGAGAGTGTCTCTCTATCTATTTAAATCCAAACAGGGAACTGGAAGAGGGACCAAATAGCTGAAGCCTCTTCCTTCCATTCAGATTTTAAATATGCTAGAAACCTCAAGTAAGCCTGCAGTCTGACAGAGACGTGATCTGTTAAGAAAATACAGATCACTTGTTAAGATTGGTCCCACATTCACGTGTGTCTTCAAGACACGATCTGCAGTCACAGATCACGACAACAGTGCAGTGGTTTGAATACCTGCAGCATGCTCTAATCGCTGTAATAAAATGTTATGATCAGTAGCACTGAATGCTATTGGACAAGCACAGAGATGAGTCCACTGTCAGAGGCCACAAGAAGATCATTAGTAACCTTCACTAAAGCTGTTTCTGTGCTGTGCTGAGCTCTGAAACCTGACTGAAACTCTTCAAATAAACCTCTGCAGATGATCTGTTAGCTGTTTTACAACTACTCTTTCAAGGAGTTTTGAGATAACAGATGGTTTGGAGGAAGTAATTACTTAAGTCAGAAAGATCAATCTGTAAATATTAATGGCACTGAAAGTAGCTGTACATAATGGTCCATTTGAGATGCTTATTTTTTCTCTAATGGTTCAAATTTCATTTGTGAAGAAGTTCATCACGTCATTACTAGTCAACATTAAAGGCCCAACAGAGCTGTGACTTTTTGTCAGCCTGGCTAAAGTGCTGAATACAAACCTAGGGTTGTTCTTTTGTTCTTCAATCAGTGATGAATAATAAGATATTCCAGCTTTATGGAGGGATTGAATATGAAGGAGCAAACTATTTCTCCAGGCTAAATGATGATCTTCTCAATTACTGAGACACCATTTCCTCTCTAGCTTACGTGTCATCTGCTTTAAGGTGCATATTTGTGAGCTACACCAGGGCATGAAGTACTTCTGATTTAAGGTTTTCTCTTTCAGAGGAGCAACAGTATCCAGTTGTATTAAGTGAAGATGTAAAAATATTAAGAAGATAATCGACCTCTGTGGGAGTAGCATTCAGGTTGCTGCTCTGGACACAGAAGAAGGTAACAGTGGAGTAAATCAATCTGTTGATCAATTATTAAATCATTTACTAACAGGGACTTGGAAAAGACGACCGTATTATTTAAAAATTCTATGTGAAAGGGCCTTTATGGTATGTGATGTATTAAGTTATTATAATTTCTCCGGTACTTCGATGATGCATAACTGCACAACATATATTTACCTTTGCTCCCATGTCTGATTGAGACTTTTGCACAACTGAAATTCTTCTTCTGTCTTTACACTTGTGTTGTGTTTTTCCAAGAAACCAGAACCATGTGCTTACATTGGATTGTTGAATATTCTGATTTAATTTCAGTATACTGCTCACACCATCTTGGCACCTGGATGTCTATGATAAAATGTCTCAAGATTTGTCATAAGCTATGTTTTTTTTACTTTGTTGCTTTCTACAGCTTTGTTATCACAGCCAGAGAAGCTGACCTCAGTGCTGATCACATCAGCTTATAGCTAATGTCCTTTTACACACACTACTTCATGTAGGGATTCCTATTTCGGCATGACCTCTACACAGTCTGTAAAATCACTTAGGTCAGGTAATATGTGAGTTAATGAAAGTTGTATCAGTTGTCACTGATGCCTGTTCAGTTCTACGCTTTGGGTCTTCCTCGGTCTCGAGATTTCCTTGCATGCACATGGAGGGTCCTAGTTACTAGTTGGAATAACTATAATAATCCCAACTGAAATATAAACAGAATATGACCTTTACCTTAGCAAACAAAAATGGTAAACAACAGTGAATTTCTATATAAGAAATGCATTTCCAAACTGGGAGTTTCTACTTAGTGTCACCTGGAGTTTTACAGGCTCTGGCAGCTTCATCTCTAACAGTCCTTCTTTGGGGACATTCAGCACTCCCTCCTTTCCTCCTCCTTCGGCTTCACCCTTCTTTAGCACCTCCAACTCCATGCAAAGTGCATCCTGCTTATTGCGTCGTTCACAGAACACAGAAGGTTCAATCAGTCGGAGGATATTCTTCAGATCTCCGTTTTGGAAAACGCCCATGATGAGCATAGTATATAACAGCTTGATGAGTGGAACAAATAGAAACTCTGTGCTTCCTCCTACTGGGTCCCGTACATGCATGCTTCCCTCCCGTACTGCCTCTGTCAACATCTCAATGGTTTTAACTTTCAGTATATCTAAGGGGAATTCAGGGCTGTACTGGAAACAATCTCCTGATCCACTGTTGCCGTTGTTAAAGCACGATGGTCCGGGCCTGGAAACAAAATTTGGGGATGTGAAGTGCATTCTGGGTCTCAAAGAGGTGCTGAGTCCAATGCCTGGCAGGCCATGTTTCTTCTTTTCATTTGGGAACAGAGTGATGCTCTTTGTGTCATTGGTCATGGGAACAATGTACTCATTGTTCATCATGAGGCGAGCTGTAGCATAGCTGCTCAGGTGGATGTCGATGAGGAGGTCATAGTAGCCAGCACGAAGAAGACCTGTGAGGACAGACAGAACAAGTTTGACGTCTGCCCTGTAATGTTTACATGCTTCTTTATCATGTTCAGTACTATTGCACATATTAATTCTTCTTATGTTTATTGTTTTATGGACTATCTAAGGTGCCAAGGTCAAAAAATTAAATGAAATGAAAAAAAATTACACTACTCATATTCTTAACCAGCTGTCCGATTAAGGGTTGTGGTTTTACTCAGACAATTGGAACAGTATTTTATAAGGCTAACGCTGAGAAATAGACATAGATTCAGAAAAAAATTCAAGAGTTTCTATAAAGTAGGTTTACGATATAGAAAATTGAGAATGAGAATATGCTTTATAAGCAGTGTGTCTGTTACCTGGCATATATTTATTCTCTATAGCGTAAAGGAGCTGTGCCTCATCCACGTGGGAGCAGAGGGCATGAGCTACTCGGTTGTTTCCCAGAGCACAGATGGCAGAGTACAGTCTGAGGGTATGGTAGTGAAATTTTAATAAGTCCTTCTGCTCTGACAGTTCCAGGATATCCAACGACCTGAGCAACAGAAAGGTACACACTGCATGAGAAATGTGAGGGAGGAAGGATGAAAAGGTGTGTGTGTTTAGCTGTGTGGACTGTACCTGTTCTCCTCAGGTATGTGCAGAGACATGAACTGCAGAGGTTTGTTACACTGCACCAGCCAGCCATGTCGATCATTTGCTCTGGATACTGAGACCTGGACAAAAGTCATACACAACATACGCTACATTTGAGATTATTTTTCAGTACTACAGAAAACTCTATATGAAAAGATATTTATCCATCCATCCATGAACGGCTTATCCCAGCTGCCATAGATAGAGACAGAAAACCGTTACCTATCGGGCAATTTAGACTGGCCAATTAACCTAGCCCGACTAACTGCATGTCTGTGGAAGGAAGCTGGAGTACCCAGAGAGAACCCACACAAACTCAGGAAGAATGTGCAAACTCCACACAGAAAGGCCCCAGCCAGGTGGTGGAAATGAATTTATTTAAATCCCACAATAAAAATCCATCCCTCCATCTATTTTCTTCCTCTTAATTGGGACCAGGTCACAGGGCAGCAGCCTAAGCACCTCCCACAGGACTCCCCAAGGGACATGGTCAAATGTGCTGCTGACTTCGACTGAGGACATTGTCGGGTGTTGGAAGGAATGCTTCGCAGATTTCCTTAATCCCACTGACACGTCTTCCTTAGAGGAAACACCCAAACTCAAGTATTTGCTTCAGCCACTGCCCCGTTCTGCTTGGCCTGTTGGTACCCACCGGCTGCTTCCGAAGTCCTTCAGGCTAACCAAGCTCAATAGGACTCCTTCCATGGCTGATGGTTCCCTTCCCCTCTGGGGTTGACCATCTGGTTCGACATGTGGTTCGGTGGTTGGTGCATGACAGGCACCAACCACCTTGCGGCCACAACTCAGTGCAGCAGCTTCAGCAGTTTTGGTCCTGAACGTGGACCATTTGGACTCAGTGTCCCCAGTCTCCCTCGGAATGCTGTCTAACTCTGTTGGAGGTGGGAGTTGATGCAGGCGAAAGGGATATTGGATACCCACCCCATCCCATCAGCCCAGCACATATTGCACCTGACCCCTACGGTGCCTCCTGCAGTTTACCATGACCTAGCTGAAGTATTTAGCAAGGACTTGGCTCTCACACTTCCTCCGCAGAGACCATATGACTGTGGAATTGATCTGCTCTTGAGGGCACCACTCCCCACCAGTCACCTGTACAGTCTTTCTAAGCCGAAATGGGAGGCCATGGAACACTAAATCAGTGATTCTCTGGCAGCTGGAATAATCCGCCCTTCCAAGTCCCCACTCAGGGCGGGGTTCTTCATTGTGGAGAAAAAGGCCAAGTCCCTCCAAACAAAATAATGATAAAGAACAAGTATCCCCTGCCATTGTTATCTTCTGCTTTTGAACTGTTACAAGAAGCCACCATTTTCACAAAATTGGATTTAAGGAATGCCTATCATTTAGTAAGGATCAAGGAAGGGGATGAGTGGAAAACAGCTTTCAATACCTCCCTGTTATATTTCTAAAATGTGAGTTCCAAGTTCAGTCTGTCGCTTTTTGGGGGGTTCATTGTGGAACAGGGATGGGGCGATCGTGACTCAAGAGTTGGGAGTTTGCCTTGTAATCGGAAGGTTGCCGGTTCAAGCCCCGGCTCCGACAGTCTCGGTCGTTGTGTCCTTGGGCAAGACGCTTCACCCGTTGCCTACTGGTGGTGGTCAGAGGGCCCGGTGGCGCCAGTGTCCGGCAGCCTCGCCTCTGTCAGTGAGCCCCAGGGTGGCTGTGGCTACAATGTACCTGCCATCACCAGTGTGTGAATGGGTGGATGACTGGATGTGTAAAGCGCTTTGGGGTCCTTAGGGTCTAGTAAAGCGCTATACAAATACAGGCCATTTACCAGGGCCAGCTGCAGGTGGATCCAGCTAAAATTAAGGCAGTGGTAGAATGGCCGGAGCCCCAGACCCATAAGCAGCTGCAGAGGTTTCTGGGCTTTATAAATTTCTACAGCAATGATTTCAGTGGCATTGCTCTGCCCTTTGCATGTTTAACCTCTCCCAAAGTTCCTTTCCAGTGGGCTCCTGTGGCGCAGCAACCATTTTCCGAACTCAACAATAAGTTTGCCTCCATGCCCATCTTGCTGCAACCAGACCTCTCTCAGCCATTCATAGTAGAAGTGGACACGTCGGATCTGGGAGTTGGAGCGGTGTTATCCCAGCACTCTGGGGGTAAGCTTCACCCATGTGCATATTTCTCTCGTTCAGGCTGAGCGGAACTATGACGAGGGAGATCGAGAATTGCTGGCCATAAAGCTCGACTTGGAGGAATGGAGGTGCTGGCTAAAAGGGACGGAGCAGCCACTGATCATCTGTAAAGGCCGCAAAAACCTCAAGTACCTACAAACGGTGAAGCGCCTCAACTATTGCCAAGCCAGGTGGGCCCTGTTCTTCACTCGGTTCAATCCGACCATCCTGCCTGCAGCCTGCATCATAGGGGCCCTCACATGGGAGACTGAAGGTCTAATGAGAAACGCAGAGTGGGAAAAACCCGACCCTGGAATGGGCCCTCCTAACTGACTATACATAACCACCGCAGTGCGTAGCAAAGGGATTCAGTGGGCCCACTCTGCTAAGTTTAACTGTGGATAAGAACCGCACAATAACACTGATGTAACGCTTGTTCTGGTGACCGTCACTAGTTCGAGATGTCCAGGATTTTGTTTCTGCTCGTTATACCTGTGTGCATTATAAGGCCTCCAACTCTCCACCAGTTGGGTTTCTCAGGTCCCTGCCTATTCCCAGGAGACCCTGGTCGCACATCGCCCTGGATTTCATAAGTGGACTACCACCATCCTCAGGTAATGCCACCATATGGACCATTGTGGATTGTTTTTCTAAAGCTGCACATTTCATTGCTCTGCCCAAGTTTCCCATCCCCTTGGAGACAGCAAAGCTGTTGACTGTTCATTGTTCTGCCTTGGCATAGCTCAAGACATTGTGTCCGATTGGGGTCCACAGTTCACATCATGGGTTTGAAAGGAGTTTTTGCTCTGTTCTGGCGGCCCAAGTGAGTCTTTCCCAGACCAACGGGCAGGCAGAGAGGGCCAACCAGGAGCTAGAGGCAGCTCTATGTTGTGTGGTTTCTTCTTAACAGTCCCACTGGAGCTCTCAGCTGTCATGGGTGGAATATGCCCATAAATTGATGACCTCCTCAGCCAGCCAGTGTCACTGTTTGAGGTTTCACTGGGATATGAACCTCCGCTCCTTTCCATCACTGAAGGGGAACCCTCAGTTTAACACCATATCCATCGTCCTGCCTTTGCATTCCTGACATACACGTTGTTCGGCCAAGCTTTAGCTATCAGAAAAATGGCCTCAGTTTTGATTTTAGAATATTTTGGTATATACAGTCGTGGCCAAAAGTTTTGAGAATGACACAAATATTGGTGATGAATTAGAATAGCAGACTGGATGCGTTACAAAGAAGGGTGATACTTGAAACATAGGCAGCCATCAATGTGTTGCATGTAAAGGCCTTCACAGGCAAGTATGTTGTTGCTACTAAGATCGCACCTAAATCAACTGGATCATCGGATTATCAGATCATCAAGAACTTCAAGGAAAGAGGTTCAATTGTTCTGAAGAAGGCTTCAGGGCACCCAAAAAATCCAATAAGTGCCAGGACTGTCTCCTAAAGATGATTCAGCTGCTGGATCGGGGTGTTGGCCATCACGGAGTTGGCCATGGGGGATACTATTGTCAAACACGATAATTTCAGTTTTCCTGTCATTTAGAATAAGAGAATTACCTGCGAGCCAATTTTTGACCTCGTGCATGCACTCGTGAAAGCCGTGCAAAGACATAACGGGATCATCAGTTAATTCGAAATAGATCTGTATGTCGTCAGCAGGACAATGATCCCAAGCACACCATCAATTCCAAGTCTAAATGAAAAAAAATATATACAAATGAACACTTTGCTAAAATTCCTTCATAGTGCTTTGACAGATTTATGGCCAAGGATGGCACAACCAGTTATTACTGCAAATATTTTGGATTTACCTGGGTTATGTTTGTCTAATATTAAAATGTGTTGGAGCTTAACCATATATTAAATATGTTAAAAAAAAGAAGGGAAATAAATAAGAAATCAGCAACAGGGCAAATGTTTTTTTTTCACATGATATTATATTTAATGCCATTTGAGTCTCTATGACAGATGACATAGAAATGGACTATAAAATGGGCCATTACTTGAAAAGCTGCCTTAGACTATTAAGCTCTTTTTACCAGAGAAGATTTGACAAGTTTTTCATGGGTAAAATCCACATACTAAACTCTGCAGCGCAAACCACACATGTGTTTTCCTTACAAATGTGGCACAACTTAAGGGGAAATAATCAGTCATGCCAGTGGCATGAGATTTAATTTAAAAGTAGTGCTTTATTATATGAGATGCTTATGAAGGGCGGATAGTGTACACACTCTGCATGAGTTTGCAGGTGGCAGGTTTGTGTCCCGGGTCTGTAATAGTAATGCAGAACTATAGTAAGACACTGTTACCTTAAGGAAGTGGTTGGAAACACGACTCCATAAAACAGGAGTAAGAAACTGTACGTGCAGCCGTGGAGGACATTGGGAAACTGGGTTCTTCTTCTCACTCTTAAACAGACCAGCTGATAGAGGCATCACATTCTGACAGGACACAGAGAAAAAGTTGGATAATGACCAAATACATACATATCTATATATATATCTATCTATATACATCTTTCTCTCTATATATATATATATATCTACTAAGAAGCTGCTGACAATAATGGACTTGAATAACTTCATTTAACATGTTTCAGGGCCCACTCACACAGCAGAACACCCCTTTTGACTTGGTCTTCACTTATGGTGTTACCATTGACCATTTGCATATAAATGAAGTTGTTTTCAGTGATCAGTCTCTTTTATTAATTATTTTACCAAGAGTCATTCTCTCAGTTCTTCCCTTTTTTTATTGATGTGTGTGTGTGTGTGTGTGTGTGTGTGTGTGTGTGTGTGTGTGTGTGTGTGTGTGTGTGTGTGTGTGTGTGTGCTCACCTTAATACGACCCAGTTCAAACTGGAAGACATTAGGACTTGTGGCCTTTGCAAAGACTGCAGGGAACAGCTTAGTACTGGGTTCCACCTGTGCATGGGAAAAGTTTCTAAAATTACCTATAAATGCTGAGGTGATCTGTCAAATATAATCTTTGGACTGTCAAAGTCCATAACTGCCGCACTCTGAAATTTTGAGACACAGTGTGCAGTCAGAGTGTCAGATTTAGTTTTGTTGTGCTGGTAATACTGAGTGTGCAGTATGAGACATGCCTGAGACACACAAAGTAGATTTGTACCTACAGTTGTGGTCAGAAGTTTGCATACATTCATCATAGGAATGTCATGGTCTCTTTCAAACATTTGCTTTGGTGTCTCACTATGGGGAATGCTCTCGCGGGATTGTCCTCAGAAGCCTCTATGTCATCAGGGAGGTGCCGCCCTCCTCCCTATAAAAGGATGTGACGCAGTGTCATTCAAATTCCTCTTCTAACTTCTTAGAAGCCCCATCTCTCCTGACTGCTAACGTGAGTGCTAGCTTAACAGTCTATTCAAGCAAGCTAACAGCTTGGTCACCGGGCGCTAGCATGACTCACGTTTTTAGTTTGCCTACTTTTCACCATAAAGCCAAGTTGGAGAGCGTGTTAGCTTCCACCGCGCCCCACACGAGGGGTCATGCTTGAAAGACCACAGCACAGATTTCCACTGGTCTAATGTCCATTCCTTGTGTTTCTTGGCCCATACAAATCTCTTCTGCTTGTTGCTTTTCCTTAGTCGTGGTTTCTTAGCAGCTATTTGACCATAAAGGCCTGATTAACACACTCTGAACAGTTGATGTAGAGATGTGTCTGCTACTGGAACTCTGTGTGGCATCTATCTGGGCTCTAATCTGAGGTTAACTTGTGATTTCTGAGGCTGGTGACTCAGATGAATTAATCCTCAGCAGCAGAGGTGACTCTTGGGCTTCCTTTCCTGGGGGTCATCCAGCTGCCATGCAGACATTTAAAAATCCCTCACCGCCGAGTTCCTCTGGAATTGCAGAACCCACTGGCCTAGGAAGCACATCCTGCCTGCTGTTCAGACCACAAGAAGAAGCTGACCACCTAACATCCCCCATGGATGAGCTGGACCAGCACATGCTCTGTGTTCCCTTCAGGACCCAGTTCCAGAGCCCATTTGAAGAAGTGTCTTCTGCCTGGGACCCGATTTTAGATCACGCAGTGCACATTCCAATAAAGAGACGACAAGATGCTTTTCAGCTGAGTCAAGGGTCACAGTCTCACTAGCACACACAGTTTATTAAAAACTCATCAAGTGCATCCAGGGCACAGGAAAAGTTTGTGAAAAACACAGAAAACATGTTGAAAACATATTGCCCTCACACACAAACACCACTGGGGTCCATTTCCTTGTGGTACCCAGCCCCATGAATGCTGGGCAAAAACAGGCCAGGGTTGCAGAACCTGTTTCTGCCACAAGAGGAAGCCAAAGCGCCCTCCACTGTGGGCTGCCTGGCTTTGAGCCCTCTCTCAGCAAGACCAGAAGGGTGGCAAGCTCTCCCTACACCAGAGTGGGTTGTGAGGACATTAGAGCAAGGGTACTGCTTGCAATTTGCAACCACCCTTCCCAGATTTTCCAGAGTGATTTTCTCTCTTGTAAAAGGCGAATCATCCAAAATTTTGAAAAAATAAATATTTACGTTGTGAGAAATATCTCAGGAGCAGAGCTGATGCAGCTTTTACTCAAAGAATTTTCTTGTTCCCAAGAAGGGTGGAGGACTGCGTCCGACTGGACTTAAGGGCACTAAAGCCGCATCTCAGGTCGTACAAATTCAGGATGCTGACAAATCCCACTCTAGTGTGCCCAGGAAATTGCTTTACATCAACAGACCCTTAAAATACCATATTTTGACATTCACATTTGCCCGCCTCACTGGAAATTCCTTTCCTTTTACTCTGTAACAGCTGTTCTCTTTTTTTCCCCAGGAGCTGTTAGATAAAGGAAATGTCTTCCCAACAATTAACGTATATCTAGCAGCCATTTCAACCTGCATCACCCACTAGTCTGCCATTTTATGAAAGGGCCACAGACGCCCGTGTCTGAACCTCCCTACGTACGAGCTCCTGGTCCTGGCAGCAGTTTCACAGCCACCATTTAAGTTTCCCCACAGTGGGATTTATCAGAGAATAGTGGTTACGGTATAGAGTAACCTCAAGTTTTTAAAATGTTCTTCTTTCATTGTAAAATGACTATACAGCATACATGTTTAATGACTTCAAAAAAACAAAAGGATTGGATGCACATGTTTGTGTGTGTATACATATATATATATATATATATATATATATATATGCCTTCTGGATAAAGGTTTTGTGGTCAGACAAGACAAAGATTGAGCTATTTGACCACAAGCAGAGGAGTAAGATGAAGTGGAGTGGGGCTTTTACACCAAAGAAAACTGTACTAGCTGTCAAATCTGATTGTGATAGCATCATGCTTTAATGTAGTTCCGCTGACTGTGGCATTACTACAATGAACAAAGAGGATGGAACAATTAAGCTAGAGCCGGGGTCCCCAACCCCAGGACTCAAGTCCAAATCCAGACCCCAAGGGAGTTTTGCCTGGACCGCAAAGCATTTAATCCTTTACTATGTAGTTAGGTAATTTACTCCTGCCGGCTGCGTGGCTGACTTTTGAACAGGTGTGAGAGGCAGCTATGTGGGTCAGCAAAATTCTGGTCCACACTCCAAGCCAGCTGGTGGCGGTATTGCACCACCAACCACCAAAAAAAACAACAAAGAAGAAAAAACTGCAGGTCCTCAACACAGATTGCTAAATTACAACCCTGGGAGATAGTGCTTGCTGATAGTACAATGGTGACTTTGTGGTGCAGAGTGAGTAAAAAAAGAATGGCTTTGTCAAAAATGCATAAAGTCCACGAAAATCGGACATTAAAAGATAAATGGACAGGCTTCGCTCACAACTGACTAATGAACATTTGCATGCATGCTTAAGAATTGAACTGAGCCCATTTCAACCAAAGTTTAAAATGCTAGCTGCAAATGTCCCTGCAAGTTCCTCCTACGAGGAGAGCCAGCACTGTTCTGGAATATGTTCTAAGTTACGTTGTGTTGGGTTTGTCAAACATATTTTCTGCGCCGTTTAAAGCACTTGTTGGTTTATGTGCAATACATGTTGTGTAGATTATTGCATAATTTCATTGTTAAACAGTTTTTTGTTTAACATTCGTACTTTAACTGGATTGCATTTTTCTGTTCAGCAGATGATTTAATAAGCGTACGAATTATTGATCAGTAGTTACAAATCTATATTGTTAGTTAAATATTAAAGAAAATATTTTTGTCGTTTCATTTAAAAGGTTCGGACCCCAGATTGATTGGATGACGGAGGTAGTGGACCTCTTGCTATTTTAGTTGGAGACCCCTGAGCTAGAGGATGGTCCCCAAATTTTGGACCTCAAATGAAAAGTGAGATGGTTGAAATTTGGGCACAACTGGGTGTTACAAATATCCAGAACATCCAGAATTATGGCAGAAGCGAACTGGTAGCTAACGAATATGTATGGTTGAGGTGTAACTTGCTAATTGACATTCAACCAAATATTAGTGGATCTTATATCTTTTCACTAAAAATCCAAAATAAATTCGAACTTCAATCTATTCAGTCATTCCACAATTCAAAGAAATCAACACAAGCCTAAAATTGCCATCACAGTATTTCCCACAATGACTCTCTGTTAACTTGTGACCACAACTATAGTTGCTAGCAGTACTACAGTACTGCTACCTGCATTTTGTTGGAAGTGTGATAGCAATTTCTGCCAAACTGTTGATTTAAGTTTTAATTTAAATCTAAGATTATTTCTTAGCTACATTCCATTCAGTTTTCTTTTAGACCTTTATTTGAATTCAGTGAGGGTTTTTTTTAACTTTGCCTCAGTACACCACCACACTGGATTTTAAAACAAACAATTAAGATGTGATCAAAGTGTAAAATTTTAGCTTTCATTCAGTGGGTTTCAAATTCCCTGAGTAGTGAATTACAGCCATTTTTATAGTGTCCCATTATCAGGGGCTCAAAAGTAATTGGATATGAAATATCAGGATTGATTTTAATACTTGGATTAAAATCTTTTGTCAGTGACTGTCTTAAGTCTAGAATCCAAGAAATCCCACAAGATGCTTTGCAGGAATGTTACTACACCCACCTTCAGCTTCCAGCAAAGGCTAACCTGGAAATCCTGTCAACTGAAAGCAGCAGTCCACAAACTGCTGGAAATAATTTTACAATTTCTTGACTCTTGTGGTGTTGCTGTGCTGAGAAGTGCATTCCTTCTTTTTAAGACTCTGATGATTTGCATGCAAAGTTTATATAATTCTTGACAGGTTAAGTTGGTTGTGCACATTAATTATTGCTTCCTTCACTTGCGTCATATTTCTTTGTACATCACATTGCTTGAAATCAACTCCAATGATTAATGCTACACTTCAGTCACATCTTCACTGTTTTAGAATACACTGTGGTGTACAGAGGCAACATTACAGAAACTGGTTAAATGTCCAACAACTTAGAGATCCATATATGTATTTTTTTGATGAGTCAGTGGATGCCTGGTTCATTAGTAGGCGAGGAAAGGTGGAGGACAACATAGTGTGTTTGTAGATGGAGACATGGTTTTATCAGAACTGGTTCAAAAAACAAAAAAGCACCTATTTTCTTGCAGAATAAAAAAATAAAATGATGTACAAAAATGAAAACCTGGAATCAAAGCATACATATTTACCTGGTAGTATGTGCTGAGTTCTTTGCCATTGGCTGTGAATGTCAGCAGACCGTTTGTAGTGTCAACCAGGCAGCCAATCTCTAAGCCGTTGTTCCTCCCCTGAGTGGGGCTGCTGCTTTCTCCACCCCACACCATGTAACAGTTGCTGCGTTTTATGCTGCAGGACACAAGTGGAAAGTAATGTAGAGTTAGGTCCATAATTTTCTGTTGTGCCTCTGTACATCACAACAGTGGATTTTAAGTCAAACAACCAATATGTGACTGAAGTGCAGATATTCAGCTTTAATTCGAGGGGTTTTATAGAATTTTTGCATGAACGTCTTAAGATCTTTAATTATTTTTATACGTAGTCTCTATTTTCAAATTATTTGAAAATTGAATTGGCCAGTTCCTTTGTTTTTCAGACTAAATGGTAAATGGACTGGTTCCTATGTACCACTTTTCTACTGCATTCTAGCTAAGACACACACGCACACACACACACACACACTCATATTCAGAACAATGCATTCGAGAGCAACATGGGGTTAGCATCGTGCCCCGTTCTTTAACTGCATCCTGTATCTTCTGGATGAGGTAGTTTGCATGTGTTTATGTGTTTATCTGGATCTGTGCATTTCTCGATGTTTAAGTATTTTAGTGAATGAGTCAGTTTGTGTCTGTAAGCCTTTACAGGAGTGTGTGGTGGCTGCAATAAAGAAAAGTGAGTTTTCCTAAGATTGCCCGGTACATTAATGGAAAATGTTGTGCTGCTCTAAACAAGATGTTATGATGGTGTAGATGTGCGTTATGAATGTCAATAATAATTCAGTGTCCAACATAACAGTCCCAAAAGGCTTAAAATCCAGGCTTCCTCGGTGTATTGTAGCACAGATTAATTGCTGACTTTAATTTTGAATATAAGCTCCAAAGAGATGGCAGTACAAGTGAGAAAGGTCATCATAGAGTTGAGGGGTGGGAAGTGCTGAAGTTCAAATACTTTGTTATTCTGCTTAAGAAGAATTTTCAGGTATCTCTATTTTACTTGACCATTTATTTTCTGACAACTTTTTACTGTAAACCCTACATTTTCACACAAATATCTGTACATTCTTTTCCTTAAATTTATAAAAAAGAAAAGGTGTATTGCTTTACATTGAAGACATTTGAAGGGAGTTTTTAGTTCCCTGCACTGCCGCCTTCAAACGTCAGACCAATTTCAGCCTAAATGGAGGGAACAGTAACACACTGATGTATCCGTCACCAGGGCTGATCCCATACAAAGAGATGAAAGAAGCAAAAACATATAATTTGTGCATTATTTATAGCTCTGTGGTTATAATTGAGCCAGAGCCATCTGGAACTGCGTTTTTGGTGCAGATGTCCTTAAGTTTTAGTCGCAGTACTTCAGCATCTAGTAAGCCCTAAGGAAGAGTGAGCATAAAGGGAGCAATGGATTTTTTTTTTTCAAATGCAGGGTTTCTAGAACGTTTCCAATCCACAAACATCATTGCAAAAACTGTGTGCATGCAGTTGGTCATATCGTGTGCTGGTGTTTTTCCCAACGACACTAAAGAGTGCAAGGTAATCTAAGGAGCTTGGAGAGAAAGTGACTGGAACTCATGAAGATGTTTAAACTCTCATCCAAGAGGCTTCTTCAAGTTCTTAAACCAAATGGTGGAGAGTCCGAGGTCTTTAACCCTTAATGAGGGTTGTCCCTTAAGAGGGTCGTTAATCATGTGCTTCATCACATTAGCCAGGGTTGAAAAAGGGAGTGGGTCTACCACTGTGAGACCGTGCATCACCCTACGATTTGACCTATTAGGCCACCTAACACAAAATGTGAGTGGTGTTCAGGGAAGGAATCTGCATTGTAGGTGGCTGACAGTTCGTGTTCTAAGCCACCACCTCTGTTCATGATGTCTATTTACAGTGGACATGTATCACGTCTTTCAAATCATCTGTCTTCTCAGTCCAAACTGTGAACACTGGCATCCTCGAAAGAGTGACCTTTGATCTTTAGGTGCAAATGTAGAGCTGGACTAGGGCTGTGCAATATGACCAGAATCTCATATCCCGATATAAGACATCTATCGTCCGATAACGATATAAATCACAAAAATTTAACATTTTCTGCAAATTCTATCTCACCTGTTGTACTTCAGCTTGGTGATGCACAATATCACAAACAAGAGGCAACGGGCAGAAATATGACATCAAAGCCAAAGTTCCAGAAGCTGCAGTTCCTCTAGAGGCCACTTGAGGCTGGCTCCAAAAGCAAATCAATCCCCACAGACTCCCATGTTAAAATGTCCATTTAAAAAGCTTTTTCATAGCATTGCTTATATCCTACTGTATGGGAGGTTTCCCAGTTCATAACATGTTTTAACAGTCATCTATGGTGTGGCTGTGACTGAGAAAATGAAGGACACAGGACACCCACTGGCTAATGACAAGTCATTCATGAGCCCACCATTCGCTGTCAGATCCACCCTTTATCATGACATCTAGTGTAGCTACAGCCAACCTTGCATAAAGTCTATGATAAAACATAAACAAGCTGATAAACAGGTGAAACATTCTTACACTCACGCAAAATCCTGCAGCTCTGTTGCAACATGCCACTCAGCCCAGAAACCTATCCATACACTTCCACAAGAGACTTGACTAACCTCTCATGAACTTTGCCCTTTTCATCTCCCAGGGTAACCGTGACAGTCCGGACCTTGTGCAGCTCAAAGCACGGGTCGTACTGATGGAAGTCAGAAGTCACCCAGCCTACCCAAACACTGCTGGGCTCCTGACCTGGGAAGATCCGCACTGAATAGTAGTACTGCAGAAAGAGCAAGAGGTGCAATCACATGTAAACCAATACAGGAGTTAAAGCACACTGAGCATTTTGAACCAGGTTCAGCAAAAAACATTCATCTCCTATAAATCAAGCCACACTTGCTCACTGGATTTATGAGCTACTCATCATGACAGTTGTCTTACAGTGGAGGCTTGCATGAGGAAATCAGAGCTAACTCTGTCATCAGCCATCACCTCCTCCGATACACGAGCAGATGAGGGACAGCTGTTGTCTGGCTTGTTTCTCTTCAGCGTCAACCTGGTAGATTGGATTAAGAAATAAACACCATGAAAGAGAGGAAAGAGATTGCTAGAGTTCAAAACCTTGGATAAATATCACAAGAGGAACATTTAACAATCTGAAGCCTCATTAATGTGATGTTAATGAGTCAAGGGTTTGTTGAGAGGATGGAGGGATTACCGCTGTTTGAGCTTGGAGGGCTTCTCCTGGTTATAATCTTTGTGGTTGTTGAATTCATCTCTGTCGGGTCCATTGGGACCATTATGACTGTGAGATGACTTCATCAGGACCTCAAAATCTGACACATTTTCAAAGTCCTCCAACTCCTGCAGAAACACACAACTGAATGCACAACACCACTGCAACAGGAAGTAATCAAAGAAGTCCTGACATAAATCTGTTAAACTCTGTTTTAGGTCACTCTGTATAATATCACCCAGACCTTTTAGTCACGGTTTGTTCAGTGGATTCATGAGACTTTGTAAAAAAACTAAGAAAATTGTTAAAAAATGTTGTGAAGGAGTTGAACATGATTTTGTTCAACTAATGTAGTTAGATATCAGTCGCCATGTTTCACAGCAGCTTTAACAGAATCACTACGACTACTATAACATTATTAATTATAAATTATTACAACGTCACAAGCTAGAAAACTGTGAGAGAAGCCAGGTGTCAGATATCAAGTTAACAGTGTTGTAAAATGCCACCTAAATCCAGAGCAGAGACAGAATCAGACGACGAATATGGGACTCTTATGACTTGGTGTTGCTACAACAGCAACAGGAAAACTTTAAAAGCTTTGTCAGAGTCATTATGGATTCAATAAACTCCAGAACAGAGGCAATAAAAAGTGAGTTATACAAGATCTAAACAGGCCTTCAGTTTACACATAAAGACGTGGATCACATAAAATCTGAAACTGAAAAATTGAACTCTAACATTCAACGTGTGTGACATTCTGTTGGCTGTCACTAACAAGATGGCGTAACAACCTAGTAACTGAGCGTATTGTGGAGTCACTGGGGGAGACCTGAACAGAGGAGAAAGTGAAGAAAATTCTTTCAGAAAAGCTACAACTGGAAATAAACACACCAAGCCCCACACTTCTGCACATTGTTTGTAACAAGAGGCGATTTGAGTTACTGCTGCAGCTCAACGCGGATGATCATTCTCTTCAGACCTCTAACAAGGCATTTTTGCCCAGAGAACTCCAGCTCCTGCATTTGCATTTATGCATTTTTGATTGCATTTATGTGAGTTTTACAAAAAGTATCTGTTACCCTCTTTGGTGAGAAGAGGCTGCCGTTTGGTGGGCACCTGGTTTCGGCACATTCTATGGGCATGCTAAGTCTGTAGAAGGTAATGTCAGTGTAGCTGTTCTGTGAGCCGAAGGACTTCTGAGTGACCTTCAGGCATGGACACGACTCTATTGTCTCGTCTATCCTCGTCACCTGAAAAAGAAACACAAACATATGTTTTATTCAGCTCAGCTTATTTTTTGGTTATTTATTCAACAGGTTTGTTAAATATTGAGAATGTGTTGAAATGTATCCACGGTCCGGTCCTCACCTCGATGTGTTGGTGGTGGAGGGGTACTGGTACAAACTGAGGGAGCCTCTTGCTAAGCCACATGGTGACATCCCGGTTCATGTTAACAGCAAAAGGCTCATAGCCTTCTTGTAGGCCACAAATGGTGAAGTACTTTAAAGTGCTGACATCTTTACCAAAGTTCATTCTCCCAGCCTGACACACACCCAGACTGCAAACTGGTATAAAACCTGTGACAGACAAAAACAGTCAAATCCTATAAAACATATATTAATTATGTATCTTAAAATCTGCGCACTAGATAATCTGCTTCTTTCACATCTAAATGCTATCATAGTCAGTGCTCCTTAATCACCAAAATTATGTTTTGTTTTTGCCTCTCTGGCCAAGAAATACGCCCAACAGGTTTATTTTCCCAAGCAGACCATTACGGCTTTTGCTGGTCCACTTGATTGTCATAGGTTATTTGATCTTTTTTTTTTTTTTTTTACATTTTAAGTTATTACAATCAGAATGGACAGGACCGGAGGACAGAAAAGAGAAAGAAGAAGAGAAGAGATGTTGGGAAGTGAGTTATCATCAAAACTATTCTGACATATTTACCTTTGGGAGCCTTAAATCAAAGAAGACAATGCTAAGAAATGAATCTGGTAGACTTATCGGCTGCTGTCCAGATAAATAACTATTAATAAAACAGAGGTATAAATATCCTGTTTCTAAAAGTGGAGTTACTCTGACTTCCACGAAGAAACCTGAAGCATTCAAAGTGTTTTTTGCCATCAGTCTTAAACTAAACTGCAGTTCAAAGGATATGCTGGTTAAGCGCCTCGGCATCAGCTTGTAAGATAGTAAATGATGACTGTGTTGTATAGAAGGAGATGCACTGTGCACTTCATTGATCTGTTTAAAACACTGGACACAGTGACAATTGCATAGACAGCCAAATAATAATTTGGCTTCGGCTTAAAAAAATGACAGACTCTGTGCTTCCTTAGGAAATGCCCATTTCCTGCTCCTTCCCTAATTTTGTACAGCCTCTGTATTGGTCTTCCACTTCAGCTGGTTGTATATGTGGACACCTGGATCCTTATATTCCTCCACCACATAAACATATTCTTCTAGGATAGACATTTGATATCTCTATACTGTCTTAAAATTGCTGTGAAGAGTTGGTATCTTACACTCTAATATAAACAGCTTCTTATTGAAAGATATCCTATATTTCATACAGTGTATCCAGATGTTGCACCTTTGTGATAAAAGCTTTGCTTTTCAATTTATTTACTACTGACGAAATATATTTATATCTATCATCATTGGTTTAAAAATTAACTGGCAACAGTATGGTCAGTCATTTAGTTTTTTTTTTTTTTTCAAATGCCAAAATTTGCTGGTTCCAACCTCTGTGTTAAAAGTTTTCTAAGTAACGACTGACATTTTAAGAGTTTCCTACAGAAATAGTCAGCTGTTAAAAAAATTCATAGTTACAAACTTTGAAACATAGGAGAAACAAATTTAATTAAATGTAAGAAACACGCTAACAAAATTGACAGACTAATAATTGAGTAAATATGTTCTTTCATCAGTTATTTACCCAGAAGAACACTTGGGCCACCTGCTTTCCCTAGTTGGTATGTTTAGTAAGATTTACTCTTTGGTCTTGAAAATGAGCAGTGTCTCCTGTTTTTACAAATGCATGTGCTGTCCAGGACAGAGTACTGACCTTCACCGACTTCAAAGTCCTTGAAGGCCAGCTCTGATCCAGAATCATCCAGCAACACTTCTCCATTGAGTGTGAACATCATGGTGTGCTCATTCAGATCCACCATGCAGCCCACCACATCTCCTATCTGCCAGGCTCGGCCAAAGTGTTCATTCCCCTGGTGCCAGCGCTGCACCTAGAAAACACATTACATGCAGGGGTGCGTGCACACACATGCAGTTACAGGGATGATCAGTGTGGAGATGTAGTGGTGTTATTACCAAGGCTTTTGTCTACCCATTAGAAAAAATATTGACTGTTTTTGCCATTTCTATGATGCTCATAGTATGAATCAAATTGTCTATTCATCCATCCATTGTTTAATGCTTATTAAGGTCACTGTGAAAGTGGTCTAAGTAACCAGGCCAGGCCACTCTCTCCTTGGCCAACACAAGATGTGTGCGGGTTCAACTCCTTCAAGTTGAACATGAAAGACCTGGACCAAAGATTGCTGATGTCATCACTGCACTGGCAGTCTACCCATCGGTTCCCCACTCTTCCCCTACCCACTCATGAATACAAAGCTGAGATACTTCAAGCTTTTTCACCTGGAGCAATAATTTGTCTCCAACCTAAAGTGTCCAGTCAGTCCTTTTACAACTCAGGACCTGATCTCAGAATAACAAGTGTTAAAAGAGATTGTATTTTTTCATAACTATAAGTTGGATTAAGAACTAATCATAGGATGTAAAACTGACTCATTTATTAAAAATGTAGGTTATTGTAAAGAGGCTGATGTTTTTCATTTTTCTGTGTAAAGATAATGAACATTCACATTAGAAATAAAAAAAAAATTCCTGAATGTAATAAATAAATGAGATTTGTGAAATGACTGCACCTTGAAGCCATCAAAGACAAATGCCTGATCATCAGAGCCCAGCTCCTGGTCTGGTAGACATCCTGGCCTGGCCCAGCCGACCCTCATCTCTCCAGCTGTTAGAACCTACATGATTAGGACCACATTAATATCCAGTTTGGAAAGTGTTTTACAAATATAATAAAAGGCATACAGTGGGTCAAAAAAGTATTTAGTCAGCCACCGATTGTGCAAGTTCCCCCAC